GCGATGATGTGTTGAGAAGAAACCTGCTTGACACTGTTCTTGATCATAAAAGTTTATTAAAGCAAAGAGTTCAGCATCAATTACAAGCTCTGCAGCAGCTTGGAGAGTGACCCAGTCAAATTCTATAGAAGGGTTCAGTCCCTACATAACCACCAATCACTGCTCTCCCCGTAGAACACCTCCCCAAAGGTCACTGACCCTCTGTCTTGCTGCTACAGTGCTATTTTAAACTGTTATGAGTCAAATGCATAAGTATTGGATACTACACACCAACATTTTCCCTAGAGACCAATGGGCCATTTCTAAAAGCTAGATGTTAGCCTAGTCGGTGCTGATGAATTGGCATCATAATGTTACTTTAGTCAAGCTGTGTGTATTTATGTCAGAAATGCTTCAATGACATGTATTATCCATGGGCATAAAACTGTGACTCCATCATGGTAAACAGTAAGTTAACTTTTTTTTTTACTTTGACACGCAGCCAAACAAAGGCATTCCAGAGCGCATCAAAACAAAGACAAAGTAGCCTACTGTAACGTTCACTGATGACAAACCACTATTTTCTCCAAATAACAACAAAAATGACCGAAGATATTTGTCCTCATGATAAAGCAGATGATTAATGTTCCAAAAATGACAATAATTATTTTTCAACCAAAAAGTTAAGGCCTTTTGACTTTGCATGTCAATCTTTTGACACATTTTCCCTCTCATAAATGAGCCTGCAGTAGGCTACTGAAGGACACTGTAAATACAGCGTAGGCTACATTCTGCAAATGGATGTCAAACACTGTACTCTGCCCTGTGCCTGTTCACCTCGCCCACCCTGAACAGTGAGTGACTTTCACTATTTACACAGGCATCCAATAGAGGAAGTGAGAGGAAGTTCAACTGCATGCATAGGCCTACAGTAGCAGACAAGTTGAAGGGAAAGAACAACCTTCATCAGTCCCACTATAAAAAATTGTGATCTCTGGCTTGCATGATTGGGCATGCAAATTCAAGATTTTAAGTAACTGTGAATTTTTTTCCACAGTTTTTAAACGTATTCTTACTTCAGGATGGATGGTGTGTGCTACGGACTACTATAAGTGGATCATCTGAGGTAAGAACAAGCTTACTTTTGTGTCTTTCAGTCTAAAATATTTCATCTAGTTGACTGCCTAATTTAACTGAAAAGGTTCTCTCTCCCTGTGATGGTTTATCTCAATCATCAAGATCGTACGATTTGTACTACGATAGAGATAGTCGAGTGATTTCTAATTAAGACTTTCGAAATTGAAAGACAAAATGTATTCAGTTATTAGTGATTAGTGAACTTTCTCCAGCAAAAGTAATCTTGTTGTATCCACAAGTCTACATTGACATTTGTACGTGATGAATACACTGTAAGGATAAAATATTAAATCTGTAAAATAAATGAACTATACCACTACTAATTTATTGCGTGGTGGAGCGTGGGTTTGAATGCATGGCTGGTGAGGTAGACAAAAGTGATTTAAACAAACAGCTGATGTCAAATAAACTATTTTCCTCCAAGTCATATTTTAGGTATTAAAGGAAAATGAAACTGAACATGTAACTTTAAGCCTTAAAATGTGATGTATGTTTTGGCCTCTGGTCTCTGCTGTGTCAACCATGATAACTACAACTACACAAACGAAAGAATAAAAACAAAAGAGAACTTGCATTTTTGCAATGCTAGAGCATTCCCAAACAATCTTAAAATGAGGAAGAAAATGCAGACTATTCAGAAAAAAGAAACAAAAAGAGGAAGAAGAGGAAGCCCATTTGTTAACGAGGTTAAAAAAAAGAGAGGAGGTTCTGTGGTGTTGTGATGTATATAATACTGTACACGCACTCTTTTTTTGCTTTGTGTTTTTTTTTGTTGTTTTCAGATATCACACCTTAATGCTACACGAAGATGAATGCTCAGACAGTCGGGTGGTTGGTAGTTCTGGCACTGATAAAGAGTAGGAATGTTATTACTTCACTATGATAACATTGTTTGCTTTTAACACATTTGCACTGAAGTCATACACATTACCTGACACTTGTGTTTTCACCACCACAGATTTTTCTTGTGCCCTCTTCAAACTGGAAGAGAGCAAACTGACAGCAAAAGAGGGGTCCTGCATTGAAATCAAATGCACAGTCCTTAAAAACATTAATCATGTTGGTCTATACTGGTTTTGGATGAAGAATGCAAATTGGAATGAAGATTTAAAAGATTTTAATGCCACTATCATTTATAGCACAAATAACTCATTACGTCCCGTCAGTCCAGACTTTGCAGACAGAGTGCATTATACTGGCTCTCCATTTTCAAGTTGGAGAAATAGTTACAGATCTACACCAAAGTGCAGTATTTTGATCTGCAACCTGAACAAAACTGACAGCGGGAACTACTCTTTCAGATATGTAGGATCTGTTTCTTCTGAAAAATGGAAAACTAACGTAGTGAACCTCACAGTTGAAGGTAAGCACAAAGATTGGTTGATTTGAGATTTAATAATATAGAATATAGGAAAACTTTTAAAATCATTTTTAATAATTTGAAAAAAACTGTAGGGTTACAAGATTACATCTGTCGGGGAAAGTCATATCAGATACAGGAATTAACATCCTGGTTTTGTGATATGATATAAACATGCTGTCCATTTGTAATTTTATAAGAACTCAGTAAAGTCACATTTTGCGTCAACATTTTGAGAATTGGAAGTGAAGTTGAAATAGTATATGAAAACAATTACGACAAAGTATATCAGTCCTTTTTTATTATATTTCTAAAACATCAGCAAAAATAATCAGATCGCTGGGCTTCTGATGTCATGCTTATAGGAAGTTATCTCAAACCAATTTCTAAGTGATAGCTTTTGAAATGACTTAATGTGATCTGATCTAATTAGCCACGGCAACGGCTGCAAATTACCTATTGCAACTGAAGGAATTATTTTAGCCTCTTAAAAACACATTTTTAAGGTGCTTGAAAACTCACAAAACTTTGCACACATCAAAAGTCATTAAAATTTACATATTAAATGGGTCTTGGACACGGGTGTGGAAGAATGGCTTGATAGCGCCTCATACAGGGCGACAGGTTTCACCTAGAATAAAACCTAGGAATTAAAAGGAATGCGGCTAAGAGTCCTGTCCTGAAGACATCTACATACCAATATTCAGTCACAGTTTATAGTGCCCCTACTGGAAAGAGGAAATGACATGTTTTACACTTTGATGTATTACTTGACTTGTGGGTTCACCAGATCCACCTCAATCAAAAGATCTTGATCTGTGACGTGGCATCTCAATGTTTTGTAATAAAACAGGAAGTTGTTGTAACTGAAGAGTCTGCACCTGTAGCTTTGTAAGCTCTCCCTGTTAAAAGACAAAATTCGAGATAGACATCTCTGTATTGAATTGCTCACTACACATTTATTACACTCAATGGCAAAACATAGCAGTCAATATTTAGGTACCTGACCTAAATAGTAAGTTCTTACTGCTACATTAACTGCTGTTAAAGATCTGTATCTTATTATTGTGTGGAACAGAATTATGGGATCCTTCTTTTCAGTCACAAAATAGGGAAAGACTCAGCCAACATCTATTATGACAAGCTCCACTTGGCATAATTTACCAGCTTAAGTCAGTAGTTCAGTCACTGTGACTAGGCAGTGTGTTTAAGGCTGAAAAAGTATACAGTAATTCTTCTATACAAAGTATTTATTTATAGTGATACTGTATTGATTAAAATTTACTAACACTGGCTATTCTGTATTTGTTAAATGTTACAAACATTATGTTTCTGCTCATATTGTCTCATTTTCATATTTTCAGAAAATCCATGCCCGATCACATTTGAGACACCACCTGTTGTAAAAGAATCTGGCAGGATAACACTTACATGCTCCACTTTAAGTTCATGCCCTTCAAACCCACAAATTCAAGATTTATACTCACAACAGACACATGAAGAACAGAAAAGCACCAAAGCAAGTTTTACAGCCAACTGGCAGGACAATGGGAAGGAGTTTTCATGCCAAACAGAAAACAACACAGACAAATATTTGATCCGGAATGTCAGCATAACTGTCGAATGTAAGTTCATGAATTGAGACTTTATTATGCGTTGTCCACTAAAACAGTGGGAATATGTACTACTGATATAAACTTTCCAAATGTAAACTAAGGGTTGCACCTGCACCTGCACCAAATATCACAATACAAGTTTTTGTAATTCTGTAAAATGTTACACATAAATAGCATTTATAAACACAGCAGTAGAGATTTACCTCAAACTGTATACCTCTAATTTATGTGATCAACAAATTCTGGGACTAAATTCAAATACAGGTTTGCTTCATTCTCATATATATTTGATTTGTGTAAACAATCCACCTATGCTTGCTATATGTAGATTGATTTCTCCTTGCTTGTATTGAATTTGTTGACATAGATGCTCCCAAAGAAATATTGGCAGAAATAAGCCCTGGAAACATCGAGGAAGGACAGTCTGTGACTCTCACCTGCACTGCCAAAGGCCACCCTGGCCCCACCTTTACCTGGTACAAAAATGACCACCAAATGCATTCAGGGCCAGAATGGACCTTAACATCAATTAATGATTCACAGAGTGGAGAATACCATTGTAAAGCTCACAACAAACATGGGAACAGTAAATCAAACCCAATAATGATTAATGTTACATGTGAGTACTTCCTAAGTTTTTACTTGAATGAATTTAATTTGGTGTGTTTGTGATTCTCAAACATTTGACTCCTGTAATATACTGCTGTTTTTTAAAAAAAGATTTTGCTCTGGTATTTATAAGAATTTGTATTTTTTAATGATTTTTCAGTAGTATTTCACCAGTATTCTTAGTGGATTGTTCACATTGTGGATCAACCTTAATAATTATTGAAATCTTCTGTTACAGATAAGCCTGAAGTTGAGGTAAAGATGACTTCAATGACTTCTGTAATTTTCAAGGAGATAAAATAACTTTAACATGTTATGTGATGAGAAGCAAACCAGAACCTGAGTTCTATGTTTGGTATAAAGATCAGACAGCTATTGGTCAGGAGCAGACACATGTTGTTGAACAAATCATGCCTGAAGACCGAGGCTACTACACATGTAGGGCCACTAACACTGTAGGTGAAGGACAATCACAGCCATTTGAAATTGACGTTAAATGTAAGTTCCACAGCTCCTTTTACTGCATTTATGTCAGAGGATTGAAATCAGTGTATCAACATAGAAAGGTAAATGTTATTTCTTACTTTCAGATAGCCCAGTGAAGACAACTATTTCCATCAGTGAACATGGTAATAATGTGAAAGTTGGCAAACCCCTCACATTCACATGTAGGGCTGAGGCCAATCCTGCCCCAGTGACATACTTCTGGCACCGTTACAACCAAAATAAACCGACTGACTCCCCACAGTGGACGTACAAGACTAATGAAGAAAGTCTACATTTGCAGAGGTTAGAAAGAGCAGATGAATCATGTTACAAGTGCAACGCAACCAACGCCATTGGTACAGGGGAGGATAGTGAGCCTGTGTGCATACAAGTACATTGTAAGTCATTGTGTTCTGTGATTTTTAAGTTTCTTCAAATGCTTTACAGATTATTAGAAAAATAAACATTTACACTTGATTGAGTCAAACAATCACCAAAGAAATCATCACTTATTTAGTATTATTATTCGCTTTCTGGCAGAGAGTTAAACGTGGTAAAAGATTCCGATCCAAACAAAGTGGCCCACACGCCACCACACAACACTATTCTAGCCATTCCAGCCATGATTTATGTGTCAGGTAACATTAAATGACAGAACGGTTTGAGCTCTAGCTGGGATTAGTGCATTGAAGAAAAGGGGTAGTGCTTAGGATCTAATAAACGAGAAATTATGTATTCATTTGTGATCTTATAGATACTTGTTGGCTGACTTTGTTACCTGTGGGCAGACCCAGGCCAGCTTTTTCCATCAGTCTTTATGCTAAGCTAAGGTAACATGTTGCTGGTTTTAGCCTAATAGTCAATGGACAAACATAAGATCTGATATCAATCTTTTCAATTGACTCTTACCCAGAAATCGAATAAGCACATTTCCTAAAATGTCAAACTCTTAAATGTTTAAGCTTTCAGGGCAGTTGTTGACTTTCTGTTTATGGAGTGCTGTTGTAATGTCATGCAACATGTTTAAAAATGAATGAATCCTCCTGAAAATCAAGCACACAGCTGTGTCCTCTCTACAGATCCTCCTACCGAACCTATGCTGTCTTTGGATGCTGAGGTCATCGAAGATCAGCTTATCACGATCAGCTGCACCGTTGAAAGCTTCCCACAGTCACGTCTGACTTTGACAAGGACTTCTATATCAAATTCTCAGGCTTCAGAATGGCATTCCCCTCAACATGATTATTATGAGGATCATAACACTTTACATCTAAAGTTTAATGTAACTTTAACCGACACAGGCCTTTACACCTGCAACGCAGAGAATGATGAAGGTTTAAGCAAAAGCTTACAAAGGAAGATGGTGGTGAAATGTGAGTTATTCGGTGGGGCATTATCTTGCTTATCAAACAAATCATCAAACCAGAATTTTCCATTAACTTGATTTTCACACGGCAAAGGAGAACTACATTGTTTATTTTTTCCATGATGAAGTCATTTTGATTATGTGTCTAGTTGACGAGTGGTTTTGTCATTAAATTAGTGGAAGAAAGTATCTACATTTACTCAAATATTGTACTGCGATTTTACAGTTTCTGTGCAGAATTGTACTTTAACTTAATTCTCAATGTTTCCACCATTGAGTAAAATGATTCATTTATTTATAGAGCTGTAATAACTACATTCTGACAAAAGTTAAATGTGTATTATGCAAATCTTATTCAACCAGTTATTAAATGTTTGGGATCCTGATAGTGATTACAAGCCATAATAACTGACATAATCAGACTGTGTTTAGATCTGACTATTCTGTTTTACTATATTTTTGGTAAATGCAGATCGTCCCAGAGATGTGACAGTACAAGCTAAGCCTGGTCTTGTCGTGAGTGAAACCACGCAGTTGATACTGAACTGCAGTGCCCGGGCCGAGCCACCAGTGACGTCTGTTACCTGGATGAAGGTGACTGATGGGAAGAGTGAAATCATCAAAAATTGGAACGGCACTATAAAGTCTGTCAGTCCTTCTGACAGTGGACTGTACAGCTGTGAAGCCAGTAATATAATTGGAACTGGAAAATCTCAGCAAGCCGAGGTTAAAGTCAAGTGTGAGTATACATATTATAGTGTATGTCAGAATCACATTTCTGCTCTAAATTCCTTCTAATAAAAAAATATATATAATCACAACAATTTCTATTACTGGGTTCTATTTTTTAAGAGAGCATAAAAATCAAAAAATATATCTGAAGCCACTATATGTCTTCGGTTGTGCTGTCATTTTCCAGTATGGTCTTTGGACACTAAGATTTTGAGTAAATATTGTTGTTCTGCTTCCCTTTCTCCTAAATGCCGCTGCACAGATGCTCCAAAACACATAAAGATTATAAGAACAGCAGAGCAGTATTCTGATGGGAAAAGCTTTGTGTGCTGAGCTGCAGTGCTCAAAGCTATCCCCCAGCCACACAATATTCATGGTACAAGAAGACAGAGGGAAGGGATGTAGAAGTGTTTGTCAATCAGAACTACACAGTGAATTCAAACCAACCGGGAGAATACTACTGCATCGCAAAAAATGAAATCAGCCAAAGCTCTTCTGATACAGTCCAGCTGTTTGACCGTGAGTGAATTTTTATCTTTTATAGGGGAGAGGTCTTAGAGGCACAGAGAAATCAGACTTATCAAAACAGATTATTTCCTTTGATAAAATCAGATCAGTTTAAAAAACTATACTATTTGTTCACAAATCTTTGTCTATATACTGATGCTCTGTATTTTCTAACCACAGGAGGCCTAAAAAAGGCCCTGATGTTCTTCATCCTGGTGTTTATTGTCCTGCTCATTATTTTCTTAATTTTATTTGTTTACAGGTAACTTATGAAAACAGAATGTTTCCTACCAAAAATCTGTCCATTTCACAGATGATTTGGCATATGTAATCACTGTCATGTCCCTTTTATGTTTTCAGACGCAAGAGAAACAAATCAGTTCATCATGAAACTACGAACACACCGCCCTGTTTTGGTTTTCTGGTGATGACTTATTTGTGCAACCTTTTCAGCTTCTTTATTAAACAACTTCAGACAAAAATTAAATATCTTTGTGTGTGTCATTAAACCAATTCAGAGTTGGTGGAATAGCCCTAGGAGGAGGAATCTGATAAACGAGCCCATCATGGCAGAGCCTTGCAGGAGCAGAGATGACCTCTTGCCAGACCAGCCATGCCGTCCAAAGGCCCAACGACGGCAGCCTCATCCAGACAGCACGTAAGCAGCCACACGCACACTGTCCCCACCCAGGACAAGGCATGCTCTGTAGGGCAGAGAGCAAGGTGCCGCTGCTCATGCTGGAGTCAAAGCATCCATTAAGATCCTTCAGACATGAATGGTCACAATGACAGCCTGCCCTGTCATTTATCATAGTCAGTGAATATGCGTGCTTTTATTCTTATTGCCATGTTGTTCCACAGGCCTGTATCCAACATCAGCAGTGTTTACTGCACTGTGAATCTGCCCGCTGGCAAACAGGTGAGTCAAGCAATTCAAAGCAACAACATCATTAAAAACAACAAATGAAAGCAGAGACTTTACTAAAAACAAAACAAGAAGTAGAATTTACAGTATGTTGGCCTTTATTACACGGAAGTTTACACAAGTACTAGTCATGAGTACTACTGAGACTGTTAAATGTCTTCCGTGAGTATGAGAAAAAAAACTCTGATGTCATCATCATTAGCTCAGTTTGGGCTCAGAAACTGGGCATTGAGAATGAAAGAGGTGGCTGTTTTACCAAGCAGAGAGGGTCAAATTAAAAATGCTATAAATATAGGAACTGGTGTTTATGGGGGTTAACTCAGTGTGGAACTGGATCAAATCCCCCAAACATAGGTCCATCTTCAACATCTTATAGGAATTTTAGCGATTAATCACTTTTTCAGTTGTGTTTTAGTGAGCAGAGGTCCGCTGTATCCCAACTTTCCCCCTCCTGAGCTCTAAATATTGTGGATTTAAATATAATGCAAAGTATCAAATTTAAGCAGAAATATTGAATCCTGTAAGTAAAATCCTCATAAATTCTAAAACAATACTTAAACTAGTTAAATTGGCAATACAAAGCCCCCAAAATCCCAAAGGTGAATTCTTGAGTGCACAAGATACAGGGATCTCAAACAAGACAATAACTTGATAAAAAAAAAAAAAACATCATCAGGAATTCTCCATGCAATTTCAGTTTACCACATACAAGACATATTTGTGTTCAAACAACTACTATGCAAACATCTGCGTTGGCCTCGGTCTTCTAAAATCAGTATTTGTCGAGCTCTACTTTAGACAGCCGGATGCATCTTTCAATGATCAAGCTTTTGCTTTGCCCAGTGTTCTGTAGCGCCCTCCTCACTGTTTGTCAGAACAGTAATCATTCAGTATTCAGTATTGTGGAGCAATGAATCACCGGACAACCTACAGCTGCCATTTTAAGGCATGAATGAAATGATTCAGTTGCTACTGTACATTCATTGATGTCTTCTGTCTGCATCTGCACAGGGTCCTTCTGCACAAAAGCCAATCAAACAGCAAGGTGGACACACAGAGGCTGGTTCTCTCAACTATGCAAATTTAAATTTTGGAAATAAGCAAAAGTAAGAATTTATGTTTTTCATATAATACCAGAACAATTAAAGAAATATTACATGGCAAATTTTGTGATTACATTTTGCTTTTCTAGGAACAATCCAGAGAATGTCGTGTATGCTATGGTGTACATGAAAAAGCCAACTGAAAAGGTCAGAAACTTATGAACCACATTCTGTTCCTGGTCCATTTTTTTTGCATGAAAGCATCGTTTAATGTCTAAATGATATTTGGCATGGATCTATATTTTATGTGGTTCCAGGAAATTATTATTGTAGAGCTACTTTTTTTTATAACTCTAGAAAATAAGAAGTATGTCATTTTTAGAACACGTGTGTACACGATGCTGTAGCAAAGAAGATGTTTCCTGTATAGAAATGTATTCCTTCCCAACAAACTAAGTGAATTCACCAAGGAAAACGTCATCAAATTCTTACAAGCATCAAATGTGTGTTGATATGAACCTTGCTGTGCATAAAATCCAGATATAAATGAATCCATCAAATATTATGACAAATGACCTGGTGAAGATCTCTGTTATCCTCCTAGAATGAACAAGAAGGACAGGAGGAGTACGAGAACTTCAGTGCAGCCAAGTCTCCAAATCCATTGGACTATGACACAGACACCAGTGAAGATGAAGCAGATCTCAATTATACACAGGTGAACATCACGGCAAAGCCTGGACATCGGACAGCCAACAGAGACTCCAGCAGCTCTGATGAAGAAGATACTCAGTACTCTGAGGTCAAAATCTGAGTTAAGATCTTCTTATCTGAGCCACATGTTTCTAATAAATCATCAACTGTTGTTTATTAAATATGTTTATTTTTATCACTCTAATGTTTCCACTCCTAAAATATTACATTTCGTTATATTAATGTGCAGTAACAAGTACCTAACATGGAGGAAATAGAGGAAAGTGATTAATCCAAGCCCATGCAATCTAAAGTAAAATGAGGCTCAGCTTTAACATTTTTGTTTAAACTACTGAATTATAAAGGAAAGTGTGGGCAAATGTACATATTTGTAAGCTGTTTTGGCATTACTGTTTATTTCATTTATTAACATACTCCAGTGCAAGATGACATGGCTGTAATGTTATAACGCTGTGCAGCAGCTGCTTTACTTAGGTTTGTTTCGGAAACAAACAATGTGCTATATGCATAATCATCCATTTAATAACATGCTTTGACTTCAGCTCTTGTATGAAAAGATTGGCTTTCTTAGGTTTTATAAACATGCACAAACATAAACATTTTAGCAAAAACAAATACAAAATGATCAATAAAAAAGTGTTACACAAATGTCCCCCTGTTTTTTAAACTCTGCACAATTAGTTTAAATAATAAATTAACAGAACTGTAAGACAAAAAGTAGCAGTGAAATATTAAATATAAACAGCTGCATGATTAATGTGGTGGAACGGTTATTGGTTTTATTATGGTTGATTGTAGGGAGGTTGAAGCTTCATACCCAGCATGCAGAGTGGCTCTGACATCTGTATCCTATGGTAGCTACCTACCTTATGTATTCAAAATCACTTTCATGTTTTTTTTTGTTTGCTGGGCATTTTTTCAGTAAAGAGACACAAGAAAGATTGACAGAAAACAGTTACTGTGACAAAAGTTGAGAGCTCAACTTGAAGCCACACGTGTGTGGCATTACTCGCTTTAAAGAAGGATGGCTGTAGCGCAGTTGCTATCTCCACTGCTGCAGACTTTACGAGGTTGTTCTGCTCAGCTGGGCTCTGGAAACTGAAGGGGGACATAGTAAAGTGCTGCGGCTGTTTGAAGCCCAGAAACCTGTGTTTCAGCTATCTTTTCCCCCAAAGTTAAGCCATGACCTTTTCATCGACCAGTCCTATGAGATCATCAGAGACTTTCCCTTGTCCCAAATAAGTGTCAGCAACTGTCTCTTCTTCATTTCAATCTCCTCCGTTGCTTGCTCTGGAGTGCAGACGGATCTCAGCATACTCAGCCGTCTTGGAGGCCAGGCCTCTGATCTCCCCTTCCCCGAGCTTACCCTCTGACTTGGCCTGGAGTTTAGCAAAGTCCACGTTAGCATAGTGCAAAGTATCTTCCTGAACTACTGCTTCCTCTTCCAGAATGGCTTTATTGGTGTAAATCACATCCACTTGTGAACAGTTGGTCTACAGGAAAACAAATGGAGACCCAATTACATGACACCCGCTCTACTGTTAAAAGAACATCATTACACATTGTATCCTGTTATCTAGAAAGCAAGACTCAACAATACAGAGTTACCTAGATTTTGGTCAGGGTTGACAGTACACTATGCAAAGTTGATGTATGGAGAGCAGAGATGGGGATGGTGCAGTAGTAGGATAAAAATGTACTTTTTTCTCAAGCTTACAGTAAGCAAGTTTTTGACACTAAAATGATAGATAGTGGGTGGCGTGCAGTATGTCTTATGTAAGCCACCAGTCACTGCAGACTAAACTCACCCAGAACTATTTCTGTCCACACACACAGCAATGACACTTAATATTCTCATAACATACACATGGTCATGTGTGCAAGGACATAAACTCACCTCATTAGTAACTAAAATGTCTGAAGTGTCCACCAATCCCTTGTCGGGTGAATGGCTTCCTTTCTTTTTCCTACAATCAACATAAAAGTCACTGTTATATGTACAGTCACTTATGATTAAGCCTTCCCACTGAAATTGACTGCCAGCCTGGTCACCAGTCAACCTCATAATGTGTTTCTGTCTCATTTTAAAACCAAAATGTCCTGGTAACAGTGCTGTATTTAGGGCGTTAGCTGCTGGTGTCGTTTCAGCTGTGTGTCTTACCTGCAAAAGAATAGTAAGAGTGGGACACACACCAGCAGCATCCCCAGTGCTCCCACTGCAGAGCCGATCAAAAGAGACACCGTATGGAGGCCTGAAAAGTTCACACAAACCATATCAGTCAGAAAATCCAGAAAAAGAGGCATATGATACAGAAGAAAAGTCTGACATAAATGCAGCATTCTGTAGATTCCTCTACCTAGCTGAGTTTCGCTGGAGGACACATTGAACACAAATCTATCAGAGCCCAGTGAGTTGACACTGAGGCACACTAGAGAGGGCATGTCTTCGTCCAGACGGTACAAGGTGATGAGGCTCCTCATGCCCGCGCTCCCCAGTGGAACTTCTCTGATTGGGATCTCAGCCGAGTGATTGACAGGCTCCCCGGCCAATTCCCAAACCAGGGACGGACGCGGGTTCCCTTGGCTGTCGCAGGAACATCGGATCAGAGATAAAATCTTGACACAGCTGGAAGAAGGCAGGATCTCTGAAACAACTGAGACACATAATGTAATTGGCCATTTGTACCTGCTTGGTCAAACTTCTTGAGAAAAATAAAAGCTTCCAATGAATCAACAGATAAATAAATCTCACATGTGACATCAAGGTTCGCAGGCTCCGAGTATTCAGCTCCATGGACATTCAAAGCTTCACAGTAATACTGATCCTCTGAGAGTTTTGTCGCATTAAAGATGTAGTCTCGCTCAGAGCCCACCATCTCTTTTTCTCTTCCAGCCACTCTGAACCAGGTGAAGTTAACCGCTGCTGGATTGGCAATGCTTGTGCAGGTCAGACTTACAGAACTGCCGTGCAGCACTTGACCAGAGGGTTCAACTAAAACTGAGGTGTTCTTAGGGGGATCTGAAAAAGAAATGGTTACTGTTAGTTCTGCATCCATTGTTATTGCATGTTTGTTGCAGAATTTTCCCAACAAGTGATTTGTAGGTTTGTCCATGACAGGTTTTCGAGCTGTAGTGATTTGTAAATTCACAATTTGATTTGCTACTATAGTTGTGCACACAATCTGATACCTCTACCAAAAAAAGAGGGGTGGATGGAATACACCTCACATGGAAAAAGACAATGTTCACAATTTTGGGCTTTGGACTCCTTTTCTTGGACATGTGAGCAGCACAGGGTGAGAGTAAAATAAAAACAGCTAGTTATGGTGACAAATCTCTCACAACAACTAAAGCACTGACCTGTTCAATTTTTGAATGGTTTTTTGAAGGTTTCCTGATGCTTCAAGGTTGTGAATTAACTTTGAATCTCAACTTTTAAGCCAACATGGACAAGAAGTCCCTAAAGTGCTCAAATAAAATTTGAACATCTACAATTCAACGACAACTGTGCAAATGGTTTCTGCTGATGAAGCTTATTGCTCATTAAATGAACATTGTGGTAAGGTGTTTTTCAACTGCTTTTCCCAAGGTCAAAACTGAATTTCATCATCATGAGGTGAATTATTTGATTCACCACATATTTGGAATTTAGCCTCATGTACTGGGTAATAAATTAAGATGCAATATTTTGTCATTCCTCCAATTATGTGAATTATACAATGTCACGCCTTTTCAATAAACCAAACCAACCAATTTACAAGTGGTGGACAATTAATGAAAGCTGCAGTACTTTTATTTCACAATGAAAAGCAAAATAAAAGAAACTATTCAGAGAAATCAAAAGGTTTGTGTTCCATAGATACTATAAAGGTTTACAAATCCTTCCATGGTCTTTATAAAATTAATTTAAATTTTCCTTTCAGTAAACTGAGACAACCTTTTCATTTTCTGTGGTTGGAAATTAAATCTTAAATCAGGACAGAAACCAAACAAAACAACTACACATAAATTAACACACTGGCACACATGTGGACGCACAACAGAGCTCAGTCATGATGGTCTACTGACACAGACAGGATTTTGAGGATTGTCACGCAATGTGACAATGCATTACTGTCTGCAGTCCAGACACCGTAGTGTTGCCCTGTGACTGAGTCTTGGCCTCAAATCATGTTTGGCTGACCACAGCTGTATATACAGTAGAGCCATATTCAGCATAGGAACACACTGGGAACATACAGTTTTGTTGTTAGTTTAAATCAATGTCGTTACTGTGTGAAGTGAACTTACACTGAATGTCCAGATGAATCGGTGCTGAACTTTTCTCTCCCAGTTCATTTTTCGCTGCACAGTGGTAGTCACCACTGTGGCTCGGATCAACACCGTTCATAACTAAGACCGATCCAGGCTCCTTATCCTCCTCATCATCTTTGTACCAGGTGTAATTGCTTACAGGTGGGTTAGCACGGCTCCTACAGAATAGAGTAACAGAGCTTCCCTCCAGTATTGGACCATTAGGGTCGAGGATTACCGTGGTTTCCTTGGGAGGAACTGGAAAAACAAATAAATATATGCGTTCAGTCCATGCTGCTGGCCAATATTTGTCGTCTGTGTTTCTGTTTCACTACGACTTACACTGCACATCGATCTGAGTGATGGATGAGTTCTGGGCTCCATATCTGTTAGTGACTTTGCAGTAAAAATGGCTGTCAACTTCTGTGACCGTAGTTGAAAGCCTCCTCTTAGAACCCACTGCTGCGACCTGATCTCCATCCACTTTGTACCAGGTGTAGCTGTCCACAGGTGGATTTGCGTTGGCGGTGCAGATCAGAGTCACTGAGCTGCCCTCTTTTACAGGACCAGAGTAACTGACTGATGTGTTATTTGGAGGATCTGGAAGACAATTTTGAAAATCTAAATGTGTGAAATACCTGAATGAATAGATGTTTTGGCTACTGACATATCATCACTCTATAAAGTTGGTATGGTGATTATGTTAGCAAACAGTTGCCTCTTTTCACACCAAGCAGACATAGAGCGACAGAAGGATAGGGTCAAACTATTCATTGGCGAAATCAGCAAGTTATGCCGAAGAAGGAATAACAACCATACTAATAGATTTTTTACAACATGATATAAAGTGTGATGACATGATTCTGCATGATGTGATCTGAAATAACAGCTAACCACAAGAGATAAAAATGCCAGAAACATACTCACAAAGAACACGGAGGGTCAAACTTTTTTCATACAAAAGGTCACTGTTGCCAGTTTGTCGGTTGTAGAGAGCGGTGCACAAGAGCTTCTGTCCATCGTGGAGGTAAGAAGCAGTGAAGTTCACAACAGAGGTGACAAATTTACTCTCCATGTTCTCCTCTGTGTCACCTATACTGGGGATCCATGTCAGAGCTGGAGAAAGAATGGGACAGGGAGCCACAGCCGAGCAGTTCAACCTCACTGGAGTGCCTTCTTCTACCTCCAGCCTGGATGGAGTGATGGTAGGTCTAGGCAGTGAATCTGAGGCGTAAAAACAATGAGCAAAATGGCAAGAGAGATACCAAAAGATGTGGGTTTACATGTGTAAAGAGTCAAACTAAAACCTTGAGAGGTGATGACGACGCTTGATGGAAAGTTGAACTTCAGAGCGTTGTCACACTGCAGTCTGAAGTAATAGCTGTCATAATGGTTCGATGGCAGGTTGTTGAAGACGGTGGTGCAGTCCTTCTCACGCAGGATCCCCGTTAGGTTGCCTTGTAGGATGTTTAAGTTTGAAATTGCTCCAGTGAAGCTGGAATCAAACACCTGCGTTCGACTCCAGCTGCCTCTCTTCCAAATGGCTTTACACGAATCATCCAGGTATTGATCCCAATTTGAGGGCAAGCTGAAAGTGCAGGGGATGATCACACAGGATCCACTTAGTCCCTCTACTGCCTGAGGCATGAAGGCTGCCCAGTGTTGGCATAAGCTACCTGAGGTGAAACAATAGCAACAAAATAAATACCAGCCAAAGTTAACCCCAAAAGAAGTATTGCAACAAGTAGTACATGTCATAAATTGTAACAAAACACCTAGAAATTGATTAATTATAAAAGGAAAACTAAAATTTATTAACACCCACACAAAATAAATGTTAAGACTAAAAGTTTATTTGTAAGATATCCAGAAGGCATTCAAATGTGGAATAGCCTACCTTGAAGAAGACAGCATATAAGGAAAACCTTAACAGCAACTGTCATGCTTTTCTGTCAGGTTGATGATCCTACTGAGAGATGATTGGACACACACACAAAAATCTGTATTTTTTTTCTTGTTAACTATTGTTGATTATATGATTCAACTATTATTATAGTTGATCTGACACAAAGAAAAACTCCTTCCTGTGACTTTTACTTTGTGTTGCTGAAACTAATTGTTGTTTGTATTGCTCCATGTGAAAATATCAATCCCATAGTGGAATAGTACTACATTTTAAGCATTCAGAGTTGTACTGAGGTAAAATTATTAAAATTCAAAGTATTCATTGTACCAAACGGATAAATAACATGTTTTCCTCCACTTTTAGTATATTAAATGAAGAAGGCATTATCTATTACACATTGGAAAACAGAAAATGATTTGAATAACAAACATGAGGATGTTTACTATAAAACTGCGGTTACACTGAAAATAGTATATGATAATGGAGCCAACGTGTTCTCATTGGTCACACCAGCTCATTTGAACTCAAACCATATTAAATGTTTTACATATGTTTCGCAATACCATATTCTGTAAAGTAACAAACAGTGAAAACCATCAGAACTATACAGCAGAAAAGAAAAATAACATGAATACAATAATTACATTTAGCAGAGTAAAAGTCTGGCAAATGACAGAGACTTAACTAATGTTCCAGTATTTTAAAATTGTTTATGCAGATTGCTTAAATGTATGTAAGTTTGTGACAAAGAAATGAGTATTTCTGTATGGATCTACTGCAACGGATTAAGCAAATAGGGCATACTTTATGACAATAAATAAATATTTCAATTGTTCGAGTTTTCTGAAAACAAAGTCTTACCTTAGAGCCAACAATGATGCTCAGCATGCAGTGTCTTTATTTTCTGGAAGAAAGAGCAATTTTGGGATTTAAATACACAACCTGTGTCATATACAATACTGACATCTGATTCAATATTGTTTAAATTGATAAAATTAAATTGATTGAAGGAGCAAATAAAAGGTTTTACCAGCATTGAAGGGTCGGTGGTAATAATCCAACAACCGACTGGTGGTGTGTCTGGATGGCACACTCAGCTCTTGAAAAATTTGTCGGGGGAGTGGCGCTCAGCAAAACAGCAGGGTTTTGATTCTCACTCCATACTACAGTACCGCAAGTCTCTTCAGTTGCTGTTCAACCATTGCATTCATGAGCAATGTTGAAAGTCAACAGACAAACGTGTGAATATGGCTGCTTCTTGAAATAAAAAAAATTGCTGTTTGACAGCTGTGTAACTTTCTATCGTTGTATTTTTCTGCAAGCACTTGAATGCACCATTTAGGAAGTGTTTCAACATTGTGTAAGCTGATTTTCAAACAGTACTGATATGAGTCGAAATGGCTTGAGGTTAACTGTAAAGCCTAATACAGGAAGACTGATTTCAGCGAGCACCAGAAAAGAGCAGGAATTTACCTCATAGGCTCAATAATTACTACAGATAAGAACTGCATATTACAACTTACTATATATATTTTTTCTTTTTTGCCTTTATCATATTAAAACCACATGATTTTACAAGTGAACTACAGATCAACAATCATCAACATGCTAGCAGGAAGAAATCTGTGTAGGTTATCAGTAAAGATTTTTCTTATAGCTTATTACGCAACTCGTGTTGAAATGTGCACACCATGTTAAAAGGAAATAGTGAAAACAGGAAACAGTGGTACATGTCCTATGAGTTGCATGGTGGTTTGTCTTTGTAATTTCTCAAAAAAAAAAAGTTTAACAAGAAGCAAGAAAACTTAAAACTTAAAATGCTATTTCAAGGAACTGGGGGAAAATAGGGCTAGTAACTGTTAAAATATTGACACACATTGAGACCACAAAATAAATGAAACACTGAATAAAAAGACAACATGAATAACGGAAATAATGTAAATTTCCCAAACAAAGCTTTGCTATTATTATTATTATTATTATTATTTATTATTATTATGTTGCCAATGAAAGATTAAGTTAAAAAAAGACACCCAACTAAAGCAAAACATTTTATGTATAACAATTTATTCATTTCTTTGCATTGCAAACCCATATAAATGTCCAAATAATAACTTAATTCATGAAAATGTAATTTATGAAAACAAAGATACAGGATATGGACATCTTAGTGCAAACACTTGACAATATGAAGCAATCCAACACAAAATACAGCACAAAAAATGTTACAGCTCAGATCAAGACATCTCTGACAGTCTAATAACATTTGTTTATTGCTGGGCCGTTATACTGGATTGCATTATATCATACAAGTGCTACTATTATTGGGTCCACTCCACAGTATAAAACAGGTCCACTCCTTGTTGTAGTGTGATGTGATGTCTAGTGTTTCCCAGTCCTGTAATGCTCGACTGTGACCAGCAGGGGGAGGTCAGGCTCAAAGAACCTCCCAGTAACAGAACACGCAGTGTCTAAAGCTGCTTGTGGTTTGCAGCTGATTCACTGGTGGTGAACCTCTTGTCACCACTGAAGCATCACTCTTCTAGTACCAGTTTTCTCCATCGTGTTCGAGCACATCTCCTCGGCACCTCGAACTGCCGCACCTCTGCGTCTCACGTGCTTTATCCAAAGATTCATGAGTCCAGGTACAGAATCAGCCCCTGAGGTGGATCTCAGCCAAAACAGCATTAGCACCGTCACTCAAGGATTTTACAGTCATATATGCAAGAGGTCAATAACGGCTGTGCTCATCTGTTGCCGTGACGATGACATCCATCCAAATCCGCATGGATACTGCATTGGTAGCCACCAGAAAGAAAAGACGGTCGTATGTCTTCACACAGAACGTCAGACTGGGCCGTGGAGACTGAAAGGAAGCGACAGACAGTAATAATGTCATAAATCAGGAGAACGGGACGGACGGGTTTTTGCATTGATTTGTTCAGCAATTACTTATCTCACTGTAGAGATTTGTATTATACCATTATACTGAACCCAAAAGTTATCAAAAATAGACTTTATATTTTTCATTACAATAGTTCATTTGAAACTTTTCTAATGCTGCTCTCCCAGTTGCGTCTTGACTTTCTGAGAAGCGGAAGAGCTGGCTGTTGTTGCTTTAGTGTGAAATAATAGGGGTTTTTTTCACAGAAATAAAACACCCCAAATAATTTTTTTATTAACAAACTATAGCAGATATTTCTGAGATTGTAGATGAACAGTTGATTGCATTAGAGAAGACTGATATTTAGATGTTCAATACAACTCTGACTAACACTAAAAGGAAGATTCTGATGTTTTGTGCACAATCAGTTGTTCAGTGGTGGTAGAAATACTCATTGGTGCATTGTAAAAAATACTCCATTACAAGTACTCGTGCTTCAGAAAATGGCCCCTGTGATATATATTAATATACATACATTTTTCTGTGTTAGCTAGTCCACGTAAAGCTAGTTTTAATTACTGAGCATACTGTTAGGATTTATGCGGGAAAATTAAAAAAGAGTTTGCTGATGCTATTGTGCCAACTTAAATAATTTTTTTTACTTCAATCACCCAATATTGTTAAAGACTAATAAGAATTCAATACGTTATGAACTGTTTTGGGCTTCTGAAAGGGGGCATGACAGAAAAAGCATGAGAACCACTGGGCTACACTTACATATAATTATTTGTGCTGTTTTTTGTGAAATATTGCCACAATAGTGAAACGCTGGTTTAATCTTTAACAATTAATTGTATTTCCTAAACTTATTGTATGTTTTTTAATGTAAAATCTTGATTTTAAAAGTAACTAGTAACTATAGCAGTCTACTAAATACAGTGGAATACAAAGTACAATATTTCACAGTGAAATACAGCAGAGTAGAAGTAGAGCATACAATGGAAATATTCAAGTAAAAATTACTTGTACTTACTTATGTTGCACAACTGAGGACAAATTATTTTGTAGTTTTACTTGAAGTTATAAAACTCCTCATGTTGATTGATGTAAATGATACAAATTGAGATTATATAAATATGACAGGGTTTCCCATGGTAATTGTAATGTAACCGTAAACCATGTCGTGTGACACGTTTTACAATATCTGAGACTTGCCAGCAGCAAATAATGCTCTAGTCAGCAGAATTAGTGTTACCTGACACCTGCTTTTGAAATCTAATACAGCAATTGCAGAGATTGTCTGTGTTTTCCCATGCAAATCTGCCCTGTCTGCAATGCATAAAACATTACTTTAAGTCATGTTAATACACTGCAATAAAAGCAGACATGGGGAGTAAATTCCCTAATCACATGAGATGTCGAGATTCTAGATCAGGTGAAATAGTGCTCTAACTTCAAAGAATCTTTATGTTTAATGATGGCCAAGCATGTTAGTCCTAAAACAAGCCTATAGGTCCTTTTCACCACGACTCTTAGCCTGATGTCCAGTTTAAAGTGCATTTATCAAATTATTCCTCTCCACAGACTGAAAGATTTTGTAAGTCAGTTGGTGAACTGTAGGACAACTCACAGAAGTAGCTGTTCGTAAATGGTCGTAGTAAACTTCTTCAATGGCCTGGAAGTAGATGACTCCCTTTAGCTTCCTTTCATCACAGTCTGCAGCAAAGGGAGAAGCAGGTTAGAAAAACAATGTAGTAAAAACATCCTTATAAGAACCTGAAGGATCTATTCAAGTCATCAAGGTTATTAAGGGTATATACACAGGAATCTTGAAGTAAAATTCAATACCTTTTTAAGACCTTTTCAAGACTTTTTCAACATATCTTAAGACTGCCACGCCACTTTGAGCTAACCGATTAAAATCAGCCACACGCCTTTAAAAGGGACATATTTAAGGTTTTAAAAAGGAATTTAAGTATATTTATAACATATTTATTGCCTATATGTCATCAGGTTGTAACGCCACCTAAAACAAAATCACGTGAAACAGTGTAATTTTGTGTTTTAGTTGGTTTAAACTAGATAATGTGAGCTTGCCTGCAATATGTGTGATAACTTTAAACGACCACTTGATCAATACAACAAAATTCAAATAGGCCAGGAGGGAACAAAGATGAAGAGAATAAACTGAGTAATGAATAACGTAAGTAGTGTAGGCGGTGCAGCACAGGCACAACCTGGAGGAACTAGTCTAAATGACTGTATTAGTATAGCCTAATATTATAACATTAAATTAAAAGTATATTGTTAATGTAATAGTAAACTTTAAGTTTGATATTAATATATTCATGATGTTCCTATATTCAATATAATTTCATATAATAGTATATAACTTACACTAGTATAATATTAATTCAAATTACGGCTGTTTCAGTTTGGGGTTGTTTTTTATTCATTAACTTTGTGCCAGAAAAATGCTCTAGGCTACATGACCAGCCTTGATTTCAGGCAGGCTACTAACTCGTCAATAATCATAACCGTTTATGCATAATAATGAGTTCAACATTTATAAAGTTTGTTGCAGCACGCTCTATCCTGGCTGTGATTGATCTGTTCACAAAAAGTGACCCTGACGAAAGCATCGGCTTTATGAAAAGTTGAATGTGTTTTAATAAAAGGCACTGATTTAGCTAAATAGCCGGCTAACGTTAGCCAAACCCACACGCTCCTTGAATTTTCCCTGTTGTCTTCCGTCTTGCCGATTCCGCTGCCGGCGGCGCATCTCGCTCTTGTTTTTCAGGAACTGGGCTGTTCAGGCGGCCACAGAGCGACCGGCCAACCGGGTTAATCCCGTTACTCCTGATCGCCACTCCGACTATGTTTTGGAGGATTAACACTGCGGGTCCGGCGGGGTGGGAAATTACGGTCGGTTGTATGCGTAAATCTTTTTCCGGTTCGCATGGATCTATTTTTTGGAGCTTTTAAGAGTGAAATAGGCGCTCGGTAGATCGCTGCACCTAACGTTACAGAAACGAATCACACAGTCGCTCACTGCCTGTTTAGTATTTTTGGCTACGCATTATAAATAAATACTTTCACCTACACTTTTAGCAAACAAACTTTTGGACAAACAGGATTTTCACATTGAAAAAAATATCTTCAAAATGTAATACCTTGTTAAATGACGATTAAGACTTTTTAATACTTTTTAATGGCCTTAATTTTCGCAAAATTGATTTATTAAGACTTTTTAAGACCCCGCGGACACCCTGTTATTACAACTGAGGAACTTCATTCATTTAAAAAATATTTATATTTATATAAAGTCCTCTTTGTTTGACTGTATAAAGTAGTTGCCTGTACATAAACATGTTTTAACTGCTATTTAAAATTGTTTTTAAATAGGAGTAAATAGCATAAACCATGGTTTTGAGCAATAGAGTATACAGCAAAATAAGTGGAGGATGGAGGCTGGAATGTTATTGATGTAATATTATGTATTAACATGCCCGACTAAGTTTTAGTGAGCTAGCGTGACACGTACATGGCTTCCATTCATGCAAACACGTAGTCAGTGTGCGCGCACACACACACACACACACACACACACACACACACACACCACTCCTCCAGCCAGTCTAACCTGTATAGTAGGCTAGACGTCTGTGGTCCATGTCAAACAGGAACCATCTCTTCTTCCAGGTCTTGACCCTCCCCCCTCGTTTGGTAAGGAAGCCTGCACAACGTCGAGGTGTCAGCCGCAGGTCAGTGCAGCCGGCCACTCCGTGACCCAGAGACTCCAAGTGGGCCCGGAGGTCAAAGTTGGGAGACAAGAAGAGGGGCAAGCTGCGCTGCTGGAGAGACAAATGGAGTTTAGATGTGGCTGAAAAGAGAAACATAGGATCCAGTAGTTTTCGATCTCAACCTTTATTAGGGGCTAAAAATCAGGATACCTCAGCCTCTGCTACATCATGTCACATCATATGTAAAGCACTTTGAATTGCCTTATTGTTATTATACATTAAATATTATTTTTAATCCATCTCCTGCAACTGTAACACTAAGTCACTAATGTTCACTTTGAGTATTGCTAATGTAATCTTCACTTACACAGTGGCATTATTTTTTATATTCTAATTTTTCTAAATTTTAATTCTTCTGAACTGTTGAAGTGGACATAGTGTATTTTCATTTACTCCACTTATTGTTATACCCAAAAAGCAACCCAATTATGACTGAATCACAAGGCTTTTTTCATTTAAATTTACATCTAAAAAGCAGCAGATTTGAAAGACGAATCTTGAAGGTAAACTTAACCATCTTTACCCATCAAAGTCTGTTTACAGGTCTTGGGGAGTACAAAAAAAATTGTATACAGCCTTACATACAAAGCCTTGTATACAAATTTGAAATTGAAAAAATTCTGGGGGGTGGAGTTAACAGATCTCTGTAGCACACTCCTTATCTCTGCTTGAGGCTAGCAGCTCAAGGCTACATTAACCGCTACTAACGTAACACATCAGGACCTCTAATTGAACTGTAAGCAGTCGTGTTGCATTGTAGGTTATGTAGGCATTAACACTTCTTTATGGTTGTCATTCCATACATACCACTGGGGAGTTTGGGAGAGAACTGGCCTTTGGTTGCTCCTTTAGTTCTGGCTCTGTTTTTTTTGGAGTCTCTGGCTCCAGTGGTTTTGTTCTGGGTGAGTCTGGCTCTCTCTCACTTCTCTCCTCCAACAACAACAGCTGTCGCTCTTCCTGGGTGCACACATGTATCACTGAAAATGATTAACCAAAATATTCCAAAACTGTGTGATGACACATTTACAACACAGGTGTATTTTTAATGGATTCCTTGATATTCACATCCAAAAAAAGAAGCCTGATATCAATATGTACCACTGAGCGTTCCCCTTTCTAGTTTCAAGCTCCACACAAACTCCGTATTACATGGCAACACATTTTTCAGGAATTTGCCCATGCTGCAAACATGCATTACAAGAATCCACACATCTGCCGGCTGTTTTCTTGGACCATCATGTGTGAGCTGAGTGGGTGTCAGGGATCAGACAGCCATGTCTAATGCAGTGTGTCGCTGGATATTAGAGGTGTCAGCGAGCATTTCCCATGGCAGGTGACTCACCCTCTCTCTGAGCAGCCTCTCTCTCTCTGCCTTGGCTTCCCTCAGTTTTTTCTCGATCTCCACAAGATCCAACAGAGATGGGCTGTGAGAGGAAGAAAAGTTTCATCAATAAATCAGAGTAACTGCAAATGGGCCTACAAACAACCCCGATATGTGTGAAAGGGTGTTCCCCAAAAGCAAAAAGCTGTCCTGCTCCTGAGATACCAACATGCACTAAGAATCTGTCCAAAATTAGACCTTTAGCACATTAAATGGATTTGCAAAACTCACTTTATGTATACACTGCTACATGACACTGTAATGTTAACTGTAGAGCATGTACAAACTAACATTCTCATTCATAGCGCATTACATGTATCTTTGTATTTTGACATGTACTGTGCAACAGCTCTACATATGATCACTTATTTTATTTGTTACATTGTTTGTACTGATATTTATCTATACTTTACTTCATCTTCTACAGCTGTGTGAGCCAATACTTCATTCATTATCTCTGGATAGATGATAAATTATTCAAAAAACACCGTTGGGTTTTTTTGGTTTGTAGAGTCTTGATGCGTTATAATATAATAGGTATAATTTGTTATTTTATAATTTTGTAGTTTTAGCCATCATTCCTATCCATGATGACATTGTACTTACCAAGATCAGTTCTGAGAATGTGTCAGCCATGCTGAAAAGACACCTGATTGTCCGAGGAGCATGACCAGTCACATGATCATACATTTCTTTTTTTAAACTCCAAACTTATGTGGAAGAGAAAATGAAAGTGAACTCTAAAATGATCTGCCCCTACTGTCGCATGCTAATTCTAAGGAAGTAAAGAAACCCCCTAAAAGCAATTTCACAGTTCATCAAACAAGTGAAGTGAACTAACTGACCTGGCAGCGCGAGAGCTTGTTGTACTGTTGCACGGTGTGAGGAGCCCGCCACCGTCACTGGTCCCAGGTCTGTGCCCACTGCTGTGCCCATTGCTGAGCCTGTGGGAGGGGAGTGGGGAAGTGAAAGCCTCTGGGGTCTGGCTGTCTGGAAGTGTTCTCACCAACCCTGAGAGGGGAAGGAGATAGAGGAAGACACACAAGAACAACATGCATCGATCAGCGCGAATAGCTTCACATACAATGTGACATGAGAGAATTTGTGTATCAAGACGAATTACATTAGATAAAGAATTTTCAGTTGCAGCATTCAGGAACAGATCAAGTTAAAGTAAGGCAGACAAACACTTGACAAGACTTGACATGACCTTGTAGATCAGTCTACATGGATATTTGATGACAGATAGAGGTGTGAATGAAAAAAAGATACTTCTGAGAAGATTTAGGGCTTAGGTATACAGTATATGCACTTCTCTGGCTCATCCGGTCTGTTCAGGTAAATCCTACTTTCTACCTACGTAATAACAACCTACGCTTTCTACTGACACACCTTTAATTTGACTAAAAGGGAGCGAACTGAACAAACACTCAGGGACAAACAGGACATGAGTGCAAAGAGAGAGTGTGTTTATTGTTCTATATCACCGTGCACTCTGCTTAAGCAATCAAGAGCACAATAGGAAATAGAAAAAGAGGGCTGGTAATAGCTTACCCTGTACTGAGAGTGGTCTGTCGTTGAGTTTGTTGTTGCGATGCGAGCTCCGTCGTTTGGGCAAACTGATAGATTCGTTGCATGGTTCCTATAAATAAAAGAAAACAGTGCGAGTATGAGCTGTGTTAAAAGCTTCATCTTGAATCTTGTAAAATTAGAGCTGAAACAATTAGCCTATTGTCAGAAACTATTTTGGTAATCGGAAGTCTTTTTTAAAACAAAAATACCAAAAATTCACCTCTTCCAGTCTCTAAAATGTGAATATTTGTCAGTTTACGACATTAAACAGAGTATCTTTGAGTTTTAGACTGCTGATCGGACAAAACAAGATATTTTAAAAGGTCACCTTGGACTCTAGGAAATTGTGATGGACATTTGTTTTTAACATTTTCTGACATTTGAATGAATATTAATGTTAGTGAGAGCCCTACAAGCACACGCTGTATCCATGGTGACACGCAGCTCCTACCTGAGGAGGCTTGTGAACTGTCAGAGGAGAAAGTGACATCATGCAGGGGGCTGAGCCAGTGATGTTCAACCAATCAGTGAGCGGCTTCTTCTCTTTGAGAACCTGTAGGATGAGATTTAATATCATTTAAAATTAAGTAACAGATCTGTATTGAAAACTGGCTACAAGGCAGGAATACAGTTTAAACAATAAATGTAATGACGGTTTAAACGAAATAGAGCGGCAGGGAAGATGAAAAATACAGTGACTATGATGAAAGCTGCTGCGTTAGACATACCACATGTGGCTGAGAATGAAGACTCCACTTCCAAGAAGGATTGTAATGAGTTAAAAAATTATCATTGCCTCACTATCTTTCCCTCTAACCCTCCCTCCCTGCTTGACTCACAAACACATGAGCAATTCAGCCGCCACATGCAGTCCACTGTTTAACCCTTATCTGCCTCTTTCACTCTACGTTAGCACATGCCCGCAGGGAATGTGTGGACAGTGAAGATTTAAAAGGTTTCAGTTACTGATCATTGGGTTTTGTTTTCTTCTACATTTAGTAAATATCCAAGAGTAAAATCTGTTACAAATGATTCCTATGTTCATTGGTACAATAAATGAGATCCAACCAGATTCATTTTTCCTAAACTACCTGCTATACAAGTCATTTTCTCAGTCATGTCTTATAACTATCTCTCCCTTCTCTGTCAGAAGTAAACCACATCCTGCGTCCAGTCACATTGTAGCCAAACACACTTGGTCATATTGTCTGACACTGTCTTGTCCCTCTCTCTGTACTGCCACTCCCTTCTGGCCTCCCTCCAGTTCATTGAGAAGCGCTCATGAACTAAACATTAAAGCACATTTCTGGCAAACATAATCTTAATGCCCAACAGCCATGCAAATCGATTTAAGTGCATTTTTGTAGCTTACCGTTTGCTTCAAGGATGTGAAACTTCCCCCAGCGTTCCTTCTCTCCCTCTCACACATGTACACACACATTCACAAACGCAGCACCCTCCCTCACATTGCTTACTCCTCCCTCTATCCTCTCCTTCCCTCCCTCCAGCTCAAGTTAAGGTCTCTCACTCACTCTCTCTCTCCCCATGTCTGATTTGCTTGTTCTCATCAAGATTTTGTCTTCTTCTCATTTTAACGGGTCTGATCAAAGGCAAATCACTGGCTGTGTGATAAAGTCACAGCGCAGTTTAATTAATGACTAAGTAAATCACATACTTTGGAACAGCAAATATTCATCATAATACATGGCAGTGTGGGGTGTCTTGAAAAGTTTAGCTAAGTTTGTGATGAAATTGAAGCCCAGTGAAAAACCAAAGATGTAAAATCAAAGTTACATTATGTTTCAAGAATTTTGAGTCAGAAATCAATCACTATTCACCACACAGGGAATTTAGATGTAGATGACTATATAGTGCATCATGGTAAATATATGCTGAGTAGTGGCCATTGATTGTACACTATTTTTATGAAACGTGTTATACAGTATGGTGTATAATTTGGACAACTTTACAAAATGAAAAAACAGAACAATTTCACCCACAGGCTCAGTTAACATACATCATTTGCTGATTTGTTGTCCACTTGGGGCCAGCGCAAAAAGCGGTCAACTCAACATTAACAATATCCCCTTATAAAGTTCATATGATAAATGGCATGTACTTACTGTATAAAGCAACTTTCTAGACTTCTAACCACTCAAAGTGCTTCACACTGGTCAATTGCTCATCAGAAACAGAAAACTACATATACACACCAAGAGCACAGACATCGGGAACAAGATAGGATTCAGTTTCTTGCCCGAGGACAACAGGTGACATGTAGGCTGATGGACCTGAGCCACACAGTAAACACAAATAATTGCCTATTTGCAGATCCAGCAGACACAGAGCAACATTACCATTCATTTGTTTCTGGCAACTTGATGAATGTAAGTCTAATATTCACTTTCTTTTATCTCCGTTGATAAATCTGCACCCCTAAAATTGGGTCCTTAAACTTCACCTGTAATTCAACCTGTGAGATTATTTAAACCTTTAGAAATATTTAGTTGTGTCCCAAATTTCACTCATTCACTACTCCCTACATAACAGATACTAGTTTACTTTAGAGTGCGCATCAAACCGTTTTGACACGTTTTGCAGCATGTGGCATCGCGTGCGGTAGCTCAGTCCAGAAAGTTTGAGTAAAGTATGGACCAATCAATAAGGTGAACTTGTAGCTGAAGAGGTGGCAGTTCACCTCCGGGGACTGTTAAGGTGCCCTTGAGTAAGGCACCCTGTGCTATGGCCACCTGTCACTCTGACATCTCTCCACATCATGGGTTTCTCCGGTACGTGTGTAAAAAAGTCCTAGTCAGAGTGTAAAGATGAATTTCTAACAAGAAGGATTAATAAAGTAAATCTTCTTCTTCAGAATCACTGACAGGTATAGTGTCATTTAGCAGTACATTTATACACTGACTTTATCTAAGTATCAACACTACATTTGTTGCATTGTGGCCATTTTTGAGGGCAGAATATGTGCATGCCAGATGTAAAATGCCAGAAAGAAAAAAGAAAAAGAGCACTAAGTAGGAAATAGGGTGTGGAGGTGGACATGGTTTGCATTCAGCTGCAGTGGGGAGGGGTGGCTCAGGTGAGCAGAGCCAGAGAGAGCAAATTGTCACAGCTGCAGTGGCTCTCCCTCTAAATGCAAATAGTACCTCAGTTGTCTGCTGCCAACCTACACAACACACACAGAGACACAGCGTAGATGGCCGCGTTTGGAGATTTTGTCAGTTTGAGTTGAGCCTCGTCAGCTGGATCAGAGCGACCAGCAGGAGCGGGTCGGGCCGGAAGGACTTCCAAGAATCGTGCTGGCAGCAGCAAGTGTGAAACAATTTCTCCGTGTCAGCGTTTGTGCTGGGGCATCATTAAGCAGTTACCTGCTACATAGGGGTTGATTTCTTACACAGCCACCTTCTGTACTATTTCCAACATAGACAAGACTATGTTGTCACAGCTGTGGCTCAGGAGGTAAGTGGGTTGCCCGTTAATCGGAAGTTCAATCCCAGTCTGCATGTCGAAGTGTCCATGAGCAAGATATTGAACCCCAAATTGCCCCCGATGGCTGTTCCATCAGTGTGTGAATGTCTGTTTCTGAATGTTAGTTTCTGTTCTGAGCAGTTAGGCTCAGTGTGTGAATGTAGTGTAAAAAGTGTCAGAGAACTAGAAAGGCGCTATATATTTAATAAATTAACCATCAGAAAATGACCACAATAGCCACAATATTGTAAATCCCTCTTACCATTTGAGATGTGTGGGTGAGTTCCCTCTTCGCTTTCCTCAAGGTGTTCAGCTCCCTCTCCTTCTCCCTTTCCATCTCCTTCAGCTGTCTCTCTAACTGCTGGACTCGCTCCTGAAAGTTCAGAACATTATTCCCTTTAGCGTGGACTCCCATATGGTTTCTCCTCCTCAAAAGAAAGGCCACGTGCTGCATCTGATTCGTCTGGCTAGCCCAAGTTTATGTAACCTTTCATTATGTTGTGTGTAAATATCTCTGATGTGACGGCATGTGGGTTGTGTGAGCAAATGCGGAGCATCGAGCCAATTTGATCTCCTCGGCTGAGACACTATGCAAATCAAACAACCACTTTGCAAGTTGAGGTACAAGAGACACACAGGACTCAGCGGGGCTAAGAGTGTAACTCAACAAATTTAAGGATTCAAGGTAATTTACTAGTTGTTTTACAACAGGGTTGTAAAAGAAATCTGTTTGCAACTCCCTTCTGCTAATCAATATACAAAATAAAAATAAAAAGGTCAACATAAATAAAAAGAGCCTGGGGGAAAAAGCTGCTCTGCAGTCCGGTGGTGTGACAATAGACACTCCTGTATCCCCTTCCAGATGGCAGCAAGGTGAACAGGCTCTGGCTGTGGTGGGTTCAACTCACCGATATCACTGATGCTCGGGAGATGGGTACCAATGATCTTCTGAGCAGTTTTAATCACCTGCTGCCGAGCCCTCTGGTCCTGGGCTGTGCACTTCCCATGCCAATTAGCAACGTTTCTAGTCAGGGTGCTTTCTATTGCTTTGTAAAAGTAAAAATTTTGATTTTAGAAATGACCCACTCATATAAACTCAGTACCTCAGGAAAATGTGACAGACAGACAGAGGAGCTGTTATCTGCAGAGGCCAAACTGCAGCTGAGTCAACTACCATCCCTCTCACACAAACCCTCTCTTCTTCTCTCACTCCGCACTCCTCCTCTTACATAACCCAGCTAATTGAGGAACAATTCTATATTATTTCACGATATGTTCTTGTGGAATCCGATATGTGAATAGAAAAACAGCCTTTTGAAACTTATGTCAGAATGTAAACAAAGATCACATGTCAAAAGATACTACAGTTGTTCTCGCTTGCTATTAGAAAAACTTGGAAATAGTGGAGGCTTCAGTTAACATTCATTAACAACTGTTTTTAGCCATGCTAGCGCCACATGGCTCTATATGGCAATGTTAGTCTGTCAGTCAGTTGGTCCAGACTGAAATCTCTCTATTGCCATTAAATTTTGTACAGACATTCATGGTCCTCACAGGATGATTCCCTCTTTCTTTGGTGGTGCCCTGACTTTCATTCTAGCATTACCTTGAGGCGATTATTTTGAGTTTAAGTTTAATTTTCACAACACAAAAAAAAAAACTATTACAGTCATGACAATGAGACATTTGTTGGGGTCTGTACCAAACAAACATGTTTTCCTACATCTGGAGAACAGGATTTGTAGGCAGCGGCATCTCTGCAGCACTTCATTATAAAACTGTTTTGTCACACATTTTACCTTCATCAAAAAACTGCAGCTTCTGCGATTTGGAAATTGCACTTATATACAGTGGGTACGGAAAGTATTCAGACCCCTTTCAATATTTCACTCTTTGTTTCATTGCAGCCATTTTCCAAAAATCAAAAAAGTTCATTTTATATCTCAGTAATGTACACTCAGCACCCCATCTTGACAGAAAAAAAAACAGAAATGTAGAAATTTTTGCAAATTTATTAAAAAAGAAAAACTGAAATATCACATGGTCATAAGTATTCAGACCCTTTGCTCAGTATTTAGTAGAAGCACCCTTTTGATCTAATACAGCCATGAGTCGTTTTGGGAAAGATGCAACAAGTTTTTCACATCTGGATTTGCCATTCCTCCTTGCAGATCCTCTCCAGTTCTGTCAGGTTGGATGGTAAACGTTGGTGGACAGCCATTTTCAGGTCTCTCCAGAGATGCTCAATTGGGTTTAAGTCAGGGCTCTGGCTGGGCCATTCAAGAACAGCCACGGAGTTGTTGTGAAGCCACTCCTTCGTTATTTTAGCGGTGTGCTTAGGGTCATTGTCTTGTTGGAAGATAAACCTTCGGCCCAGTCTGAGGTCCAGAGCACTCTGGAAAAGGTTTTCGTCCAGGATATCCCTGTACTTGGCCGCATTCATCTTTCCCTCGATTGCAACCAGTCGTCCTGTCCCTGCAGCTGAAAAACACCCCCACAGCATGATGCTGCCACCACCGTGCTTCACTGTTGAGACTGTATTGGACAGGTGATGAGCAGTGCCTGGTTTTCTCCACACATACCGCTTAGAATTAAGGCCAAAAAGTTCTATCTTGGTCTCATCAGACCAGAGGATCTTATTTATCACCATCTTGGAGTCCTTCAGGTGTTTTTTAGCAAACTCCATGCGGGCTTTCATGTGTCTTGCACTGAGGAGAGGCTTCCGTCGGGCCACTCTGCCATAAAGCCCCAACTGGTGGATTGCTGCAGTGATGGTTGACTTACTACAACTTTCTCCCATCTCCCGACTGCATCTCCACAGTGACCTTTGGGTTCTTCTTTACCTCTCTCACCAAGGCTCTTCTCCCCCGATAGCTCAGTTTGGCCGGACGGCCAGCTCTAGGAAGGGTTCTGGTCGTCCCAACGTCTTCCATTTGAGGATTATGGAGGCCACTGTGCTCTTAGGAACCTTAAGTGCAGCAGAAATTTTTTGTAACCTTGGCCAGATCTGTGCCTTGCCACAATTCTGTCTCTGAGCTCTTCAGGCAGTTCCTTTGACCTCATGATTCTCATTTGCTCTGACATGCACTGTGAGCTGTAAGGTCTTATATAGACAGGTGTGTGGCTTTCCTAATCAAGTCCAATCAGTATAATCAAACACAGCTGGACTCAAATGAAGGTGTAGAACCATCTCAAGGATGATCAGAAGAAATAGACAGCACCTGAGTTAAATATGAGTGTCACGGCAAAGGGTCTGAATACTTATGACCATGTGATATTTCAGTTTTTCTTTTTTAATAAATTTGCAAAAATTTCTACATTTCTGTTTTTTTCTGTCAAGATGGGGTGCTGAGTGTACATTACTGAGAAATAAAATGAACTTTTTTGATTTTTGGAAAATGGCTGCAATGAAACAAAGAGTGAAAAATTTAAAGGGGTCTGAATACTTTCCGTACCCACTGTATATTGTGATTTCGATAATATTGTGAAAAGATATTAATTTCTTTAAAAAAAAAAAAAAAACTGGTTTATGGCCAAATACCTGCATTACTAATGACATTCCTCCTTCAGCCTCAGCAGCTTTAGATACAGTGCTAATTAGCACATGTTAGTTTGCAAATACTCTGAGATGGCACTTTTAACAATATACCTGCTAAACATCACCAGCATTGTCATTGTGAGCATGTTGGATAGATGTTACCACTGTGTTTAAGTACAGCCTCTTTTTATATTGTTTGAACCCTAATCTGAAGAGTTTTACTGCCTCCAAATGTATTCCATTTCTTGACTCTGACCATCACAAACCTGAGGAATTAATTGTTATAAAATGATTATTATCTTGGCAAGCATGGCCATAGACTCTTTTTATGCTGCAAAAGAAGTCAAACAACTTAATCTTTCTCTCCTCCTCTACATTTCACAATTAGAATATCTGATTGTGGTGTCTTTGTAAATATGAGCGGACAGCGAGACGCTGTTAGGATAAGCATGTGAAGTGAGAGTCAAATACACGTCAATGTCATGTTTGGTGATTACATCCACTTGTTTCTGAAGTTACTGAATAAGATATTGAAAAAACATGTTCTGGGCTACTCACTATCTAAAGACAGTACACACATTAGGGCGCCTATGTCTCAATAGCAGTTGAGACATAGGCGCGGATTTGGATTTATCACGCAAGTGCCAACATGTCAAGGCCTCTTCAAATTATTGTGTGAATCCTAATCTGAAGAGTTTTACGGTCTCCAAATGTGTTCATCACAAAGCTGAGGAATTCGTTGTTATAAAATGATTATTATCTTGGCTCCTACAATAAATCAGACTGAGTGGGTGCCATATATTCTCTGCATTTAAACTGCCTGCACGGGTGTGCCCAATCAAACCCGCTCTATTCAAAACTAAACAGCCAATTACTGGCCTTTTTCATGCACGCTGCTTCCCCACAACAGGTTTTAAGATTAAGGTGAAGCCTTGGACAAATCCTTTTCGTTGGCTGCACGATATGTCAATGTTAATGTTGTTATTGCCATTTGCGTTTCATTTGCACACATTTTCCACTGCAGAACGCTCAAATTCAGTATAGCTAAATGGTCAAGTTCAATACAGCTATTGCACTCCGCACCCAAACATTAATGAGTAACATGAATAATTATCATTTTAGCCATGACAACGTAGCCTTGCCCCAAAATTTTCAAAATCCCCTCATGTGTTTTATCTTTCCATTTTCTCCACCGTTTCTGCTTTCCCTCGGTTTCGCTCTGTTGATTTTTCTCTCATGGTGGCCTCTGATGTAATTTAAGCTTACTGTACAGGGTCATGTGACAGTGTCAGGGTGATGCTGGTGAGAGTAAGGTAAAGAGTTCATGCTCACGCGTGTGTGTGTGTGTGTGCGTGAGTGTGTGTGTGGGGGGTGTGGGTGGGTGGGGCAAGTCTTAACCTGCACTGGCATGTATGGACCATTGACTGTGAGACTGGGCAAGGAGAGTGTGTACATGTGCATGTGGGTACTTCAATTCCAAATAAGCCTTCTAATGTGGTAGAGTCCTTCAGGGCCAATAATAATAATAATAATAATAATAATAATAATGATTTTGACTGTGCTTTAGCCACCACATGTCTCTGGCATTGACAGTTCATTCACGTAAGTTGGACTTTTGTCAAAACACATTAATGTAGATAAATATCTTTGCAGGAGCAGTGGGGAAATTCTCAGACAACTTCATTCTAAGCCACGTTGTTTACCTGTGCAGTGTTGACAACATGCTGTTGACATGAGATTTCCTTCTCCATCTCCCCTTTACTCGCCCCCTCCTTCTCGCTCTCGTCCTCCTCATCAATGCCGCTCTCTTGCTCCAGAACACGAAACTCCCAGTCCTCAAAGGCCCGAACTGCTGCTTCCATCGCGTCTTTCTCCTGCATTGAAGACAGAGCAATTAATAATGTAACCAGTTAACATCCCTTGTTTTCATTTGATACTGTAGGTTCATTTAAAAAATGCTAGATAACAAATAAAAAAAATACAGTTACCACTTCATTTGCAGTTGTGTATGATCTTTGTTTTTATTTTCAGCATTACCTGATTAAGAAATTACATGACATACAGTATGTAGTACATACAGTGAATTAAAGTATGTGTAGGCATTTTGGATATACAGTGGTATTGTGTTGTTAGCTACAACAGCTGCTGACTAAGTATTCAACACAAGTTCTTCCACAAAATGATATTATGTTCACAGATCCTAGATTAAAGAAAACATCCAGATTTTCTTATTTTCATGCCAGATGACTTTGCCTGTAACAGCATGCAGATGTTGCATCAAGTAGTAGCTATCTCAGTGCCCAATTAAAGGCTCCAGTACAAAGACATCAAATTTGACTTTTATCCCTGAATTTTTCTTGGTACTTTTTCAGTACAAACACTGGTTTTAATGTTTCAATGCCAAAATTAACCTGAATAACATTTTCAAAAAGAGTCAAGACACAGTATATTAACTAGCAGATGAAAGTAAAACCTTGTACAGCCTTACTGTCTCCAAATACCTCAGCTCTTGCACTCTTGTTCTTGTGCAATACTTAAGTCCTCTGTTTGTGTGCATGTGTGCGGTTTTCTCTGTGGCACAATTTGTGTCAAACCAGTTTCTAAAAAAAAAAAACTTTCCAAATAAATCTGAGATATCAAAAGATAAAGTAACAACCTGCTGCAGGACTGCACCAAACCAGTCATTAAACACTTGTTTTTTCACATTCACAAGGAACAATACACAACCTTGCTGTGTGTGTGTGTGTGTGTGTGTGTGTGTGTGTGTGTGTGTGTGTGTGTGTGTGTGTGTGTGTGTGTGTGTGTGTGTGTTTTTGTACATTGTGTGACAATGACATATCAGGTTGAGCAGGTACTGAACAATCACACTTTGTGGAACCAAAACAAAACCAACATCATGTCTAGGAGCCAGCACAGATGCCAACACACCCTGTGTCTCGGACACACGGTCATGAGCCAAAACATCAGTATCAGTTGCAGTGTTATTTTCTTTGGATAACGCCAACGCAACCTAATATATTTTATTTGATTTTCAGTATGTTCCTTAACAAACAAGTTGAGCAAGATTAGATACTCCACAAGCGCAGTGATCTAAAACTGATATTTAAAGTTGCAGAACTCAATACATTTGTGAGCATTATTTGAAATGTTCACCACTGCAGTGAAAGCTGTGGACAGCTGGTTGTGTTTTAAATAAATAAAGCCCAAACTCCTAAAACTGCCTTTTTTGTGCTGGTTTTGACAGATAACTGGACTGGAATCACTTCTAATCTAATAGATTTTGCATTTAGATAACACCCCCTTGCTTGTTTCATTACCACAAAGCTGATCAGTCAGACTTCAGCTGCACTGATATGACTGTTGTGTTGCAGAAGCAGACTGCACCTACATCCAAGTTGAATTCAGAAAGGAAAAAGTCTGAAGTCAAAACTAGGTAATATCAGGGTCATCATAAAAGACATTACAATTTTAAATAAGATGGGTATTAGGAAAAATAAAATAATTGTTTTTTTTATATATTTTCAATAAAGAGTTTCCACTGTTGTACAGGGAATGAGGATATGTCAGACATGGAATACATAATGTTGCTGGCTGACTAATGGCTTGTTCACTCAGACACAAGTGTCTTCTATGTTAATGGAAACTGCAAATATATGGACACAGCTACATAGTTGAAAAACATTCGGCAGTTGTTGTACGAAGGGTTTTATTTAAACCCTGGTCCAAATAGTTGTTGAGGAGATTCTTCTTTCGCTTCTTTCGTGCATTTCTTTCTTTCTCTCTTTCTGTGCATGTTTCCCCTTATGCTGCTGCAGCCTTTAAGTTAATCTGACAGCATTCAGTTCAGACTTGTGTCGCATTGCAAGTGAGACAGAAATGTCACCGTGTCCAATCTAGTAAGATTTCCGCCATTAATTGTCATGTAAAACGACTAGCGTGCTTATTCAGACCTGAGGCAAATATGTTAAATTGCTAACACATTAAAGAAAGGGGTGTACATCTGAAAGAGGTTGGTCTCAACTAGTTTTGTGGATGTTTTGACAAACAGAAAATAAAGAGCTGAACATTTTGAAACATATGAATATGTTGAAGACATCAGTTTATCTCAAATATCTCTTTTTACATTTCTTTTTGTTCTGAAGAGGCTGTGTGCATCTCAGGGACTCACCTGCTGCAGCTGCAGTATCAACTGTTCTCTCTGGCTCTCTGGCTGACTGGGAATCAGTTTCTCCTTTTCCTGACACCTCCTCTTCAGTTCCTCCAGCCTGCGCCTTTCCTCCTCCAGACTCTCTCGCTCCTGCGGTTACATGGCAAGGCAAGAAGGAAGTGAATCTAGAATACAGTCATAACCTAACTTTTAAAAGAACAAAACCAATTCAAAAGATAAAAAATATAACACAACAAGTCACTTTTACAACCATGTTTACAGGAGTTTGTCCTGAAAGGTCGCAGACAAGCTATTTTTCACTTATCGTTGACATGATGTTACAGAGCCCACACACTTCTACATGTGAAATTCCTTAAGCCAATTTTTGTGATTGTGCTACTCATGTCAAGCCATTTAAATGTTACATCAACACTATTAGTCAAACATTGTCTCAGAGAAAGAAGAAAGTTAGTCATAAATCACAACTGAAAAACAATAGTTTGACAGTAACTTTCTTTACATGATACCTTTTGTCGGTCGCTCTGTCTGGGCTTCTCCAACTGTCTGGCCTCCTGCTGTAGAGCCTGCAGCTTCTGTGTGTGTCTGTGCAGCTGCTTTTCTCAGTCTGCAGCTCGCCCTGCAGCAGGGCGATCTCCAGCTGCAGCTGAAAGGACAGGAGATGCCGCTAAGTTGAATCATATTGACCAGAGGTTGAGCAAGTCACAGATATGCATTCCTTTACCGTGACTGTGATGATGCCTTGGAGATTTAAATGTGCAGACCTCAGCAGAGACGCCTGTCTGTGTTTGGGCCACAATCGTCTAACTTGCTCACCTCAATCTTTAGTTCCTCCTTCTGTTGGTCGATCTCTGTGATTCGCTGTTGGAGCATCGAGGGCGACGACAGGATCCTCATTGAGCCAGCCTCCAGCTTTCTAATGCAGGACTTGTAGAAAAGGAAAAAAAGTAGACAAAGTAACCACTTACCAGTTTTAAAACAATAAACTGTTTAGTGTAGAAATGTGGGATGATTCATTGGTTAAAAGTGCAAGGAGCAAAATGCTTCTTTCTTCTTACATGCAGGAGCTAGGAAGTCCAGGATAATTTCATGTGCCACCACCAAATCATTTGACATGACAGAAGCATATCACTGCATCACAACCATCAACAGCTTCATTTCACTCACTTACCTTCTCACTCTCTGTGCTGCTACTCTCTGTATCCGAGTCTGCCCCCGAGGAGGCGGGGCTTTGACTTGTAGCCACTCTGGTGATCCATGGAGACCGCAGCCCCTGCTGCCACTGGCTCCTGGTGCTCTCCATGTTATGTTGGGGCATTTCTAAAAAGGGACAGGGGAGGCAGTTAATGAGCGCTACACAGAAGGGGGGTCTGGCTGACTTTGCTGAACATTGTGGTAATCTAATCTGCTGCTCAGTTGAAGGCGTATCAGGGATCAGGTGACAGTTCACAAAGGGGATATCACAGTAGTACTGCATAAGCACTTTAACACACAGAAATCCCCCCGGCTTCCAGAAACCAGTCTGTGATGGAGAAAACACTCAGCAGTGAAAAGGAAGCAATAGCAAAAGAGGGGAAAAGTCAGGATGTGGCCAATGGTTTGTGGTTGTGTTTCAGGGTCTCTTTCCTTTTGGAGGACTCCACTGTGTGTGGACACAAGTGTGATAAACAAGTGTCTTTTTCATTGGAGGCTTTTGATGTGCATCAGCAGCGAGACAGTATATGAATGGAACTAGAACAATCAGTGAAAGACTACAAGGAGAAATAGCCCACAAAAATGTTGGACCACATCAGAATAGACTTTAAAGTACTCTTATGTTGTCCTTTTTTGTCTGCCTGTCACATTCAAGTGCATTTACCTGAGCATAAATCATTATATAGTGTTTACACTGTTGTACATCAAAGTGCTTCCCAACATTTGGGAACATGTCAACCTAAAGGCCTATATTATCCTCGTCTCTTTATTCTATTTTGCCCTTTAGTCCGCCACTGTGTGGTCTCTCTTTAACAAAAACATGCATGCTAGCAGAAACACGCAAGTTTGCACGGTCCAAAACCAATTGGTGGGAAAATACTTTTATTTCCTATTGTCCGCCCTTTTCCCACTGCCTTCCTTCACCCTCTGTGCAGTCCCTCTCTCCTTGTATCCAGACCTTATTAGGCTGCGTGGAATGCAGGCAGAGTGGAAGAACAGAGATAAATATACAGCCGAGATATGAGTGAGGGCTTCCAAACAAGACTGGCACACTGACATCGAGGGAGTGGGGAGAGGAGTAGAGAGGGGGAGGCATGGACAAGAAAACTTTTCCACGTGGTTTCACTGAAAAAAAAACAACACCCAGATTTACATAAGGAGAAGTACAGTTTAAACTGAATAATTTATTTTATGTCCACACAGACCCATTTTCTGTGACAAGAAGACACTGACCACTGCAGTTTACAGTAAATCGGGTCATTTAACAGCTCTGAAAATGCTTCTAAAATGCTTATGAAGCAGGTTCTCAAGTTCAAAGTCAAATTATATGGTGAAAATGGCATCATAAGATAAATTATTCTAAGACAGTCATCAATAATAAACCAGTGTTGCTGTAGAAGAAAACACAACCCTACATTGGCAAAAACAGCACAAAAAGCAAAAGTTAGCTAAAGTTTCACTGAAAGTTATACAAGACTGAGATAAAATGGTCTGCAACAACATTTACAAACAGCAACATGTTCATGTGTAAAATGTTGAACTGGCACAAAGCAGTAAAGTTCAGAGGTCAAGTGCCTAGAGTAAAAAACATATGCACCCCATCTCCAGTATCTCAGGGGAACATTACTACAGTATTGATCATTTGTTGATCATTGTATCACTTTGTTCTCCAACCTTCTGATGTCCAATAATAGCAGTCAAATTGTAGTGAAAACAAGGCAGAGAGAGCTTAACACTGCGTTACATTATTGTCCAAACAAATATCAGTGCAAGCATTTGCTGTCTGGCCTTGCTAAACCTAGCTAAAGTCCACTGATACAGTATCAACACAGCAGAGGGAGAGAGACAGACATTCAGGAGTAAAGTCCATGCTTTCATGTTAACACAGTGGCTTGTCAAATACAACAAACAAAAGGCTAAACAAACACAATACACTGACAAAACAAGAGAGTGAGACAGTAGCAGAGAGTAAGAGGAGCACCAACTATAGATAAAAAATAAGGACGTGCAAAAAAAAAGATAATACAAATGGAAAAAGTTCAGCCTGAGAGCCAGATCAAAGAACAAAACACAGTTTTGTGCCCAAAATAATTGGACTTGATTGCTGGGAGGGGAGCGAGAAAAAGATAGAAGAGAGGGAGCGAACAGAGACACAGTTCAACATCAAGTGTGCATAGTGTGTGTGTGTGTGTGTGTGGGTGTGTGTGGGGGATCTCTTCTCTCTATCCACCACCATCCACCAATCCTCAACCATACAATCCCACCCACTCTGTTTACTTTGTTAAAGGAGGGATAAAAGGCAAGATGTCCCAGGGTCACTGTAAACAAAAGGGGGATTTATATAAACTGATAATATTGTCATGGGACAAGGTTCAACAGAGAAACAGTAGTTTAGTTCAGTGAAGTTACGTGAGTATAATCACAGATAAGCAGACCGCCCTCAACTCTCAAACCGATCCTAGAAGATTTCAGGACTATGTATCAGCATGCAATGCTAATTATTAGCCACTGATCAGCAATAATCAGAAACAGCTGATTCACCATAACAGAAACACACACGCACACAGTCAGAGCAGGATGTTCAACAACGCAACAGAATGCTACTCGTGTCATATTGTCTCACCATTTGCATTTTTATGCCAAGGATCCCTAAACTGACCATAGACCCCAATCTGATAAGATTTTGGCTTTTATCAGAATCAGAAATACTTTATTGATCCCCGAAGAGGAATTCTGTGTTACAGTTGCACACATTGCACAAGGGCAAAGGAATATAATAAAGATAGTTGTATATAGAGAAGTATATAAATATCAGAGTAAAAATATAAAATAAAATAAATGTGGATATGTACAATATTTACATAGTTAAAGAATTGTTATGATAGATTAGATTTCGATTTTTTATTATAGAAAATGTATGAAACCTATGACCAAATAGTGATAAATTATGCCACTGTGTTAATTATGGATGGAATTATAGTGAAAATAAATGAATCCCCTTTTAGTTGTGGATCCCCTGAAACCCCTTCTTATTTTTAAACTAGTCTTCAGCCCCAATAGACGCTAAATCAAGTTATCACATGAGGCAATTCAGATAAGACTTCACGCAGCTCCCTCTGGAGCCACAAAATGCTTTTTTCCACATATGCATTTGTAGTCCCTAAGTCCCTTAAAAAGAATTTGATGTGTAAAATTGGTGGAGTTCCATATTAAGTTTCAAGCTCAAACTGAGAAAACCCTGATGATGTTGTCAGAAGACATTATTCAACTGGTTTCACAACAGTTTTTAGGACTCATTGTGACGAGTTTTTAGTAGTGTCCCTCTGTACAACTGTCTTTGCAACATGTTAGTATGTTGTCAGTAGGTATTTGCCACACTGGCACTGGGTCTGAGCATTTTTAAAGTTTGACTAACCTGTTCCTGAATCTGAAAACAGCATACTATAACTCCCAAACAATGAAAATAACAGTAGCACTCTGAAATGACCTCTTCCCTGTCAGGACCCCTCGTTCATGGCTAAACGGAAAGGTTGGGCTGAGCATTGTGTACACAAAACCATAAAGTCTACAATGACAACAGCTATATTCCACCAGCAACACACAGGACAAAAGAGCTCTGACGGTGGCATGCTCTGTGTGGGTGTGAATGCTGATTACAACCAGTTACTATGCGTTCAATGTCAGGGCACTATAGGGAAAACATGTCACACATGGAGCATGTGACTCAAAACTGCCCTGTAACGAGCAGGGCAGAGCGAATGCACAGTGTATAATTAATCCACAGAGGCCGGACTTGGAGGTCAAGGCACTCTCAGTTCACTCAATTCAATTACAATGAGTATAATATTTCACACACTGAACTGTAAAATATATATAAAAGGTCTATTACAACTTTTTCATCTCTCAATGAATGACTGGAGAAAGTCAAAAAAAAGGAACATTTGAAAAGAAGGTGAAGAGACAGGGAGTAATCTCTGGGTTACACTGCAATGTGAACAGTAGACAGGTGATGTGTGTTAGCTCTGTTGGCTGAAGCAACTGTCAATCACTTGTACTTAATAATTTACATTTCAACTACATACACACAGTATATATGGATTTACCTGATGAAGGTCTGAGGACAGAAACTTTGCAGATAAAGTGATCAGTCAGAATTTATGATCTGAGACACCTGTTTATAAGATTTTCTAGAGTGCAAGAACTTTGTGGTAAGTAATGCAGTTTAACATATCTTCCAATGACCAAAAAAAAAAAATCCTCTCCTGGTCGCAGACCTTGAAAAGACTGAAAAATAAACTGAAGTAATTTGTGAAATCATGCTAGTAATATACTGTGACCTTGAACTGCATTGTACTGTGCAAGTGCTGCATCGCCTTAAACACAGTGGCATGGCACAGTGCAGGGGGCATCTACAATAACAAAATGCTTCAGTAAATGGTGTCGTCTCATCTGCAGAAGGCATGAGACCAAAACCAGCCATTAAGCCCTGTGAATTAGTAGGACAAGTCACATATTCTTTTTATTGGCCACAATTACAGGCTGTGGCTTCAATCAAACAGACCAACTCTCTAGTCTTTGAAAACGCTCTTTTCAATAGCAGGCCTGACATCATCACATTAGCATCTTTATGCGCACAATTTTTCCAGACGTGTAAGCATTTTTCCTATTTCTATTGTCAAAATGGAGACACTGGAGTCCCTTTTTTTGCCACTTCCTTGCTCTGGCCCTGCAACACCTTTGGCTTTAACTGAAGAAAAAACACAAAGTCTTGCTCTCATTTTAGCAGATGAGGTTTGGTTGGAAAACTGGAAATTGGCTTTGTCTTGTGTTACAGCACACTAACTGGTTTCTGCTTATTAAAACAGATAAAAACTGACATTTTTGGACGTATCCTTACATTCAGGCAAAGACCATGCTGTAGGATAGATTCAATGCTGTGGATTAACCAGCAGTGACCTCTGTACCTGCTGCATGTGGCTCCTGCTGGCTCAGCGCCGGGGGAACCAGGAAGCTGTCATCACAGTATAAGTTTGTGAGCAAAAAAAACAGGTGAGAGTAGGGTGTTTTGGCGGTCACCCAGCTGTCATTGGTGGACTGTGAGAAAAAGTGACAGGTCTTGCCTGACACCTAGGTGGCAACACATATGACACAAAACACTGATGCATATAGCTGTAAGAAAATACTGACAGACTCCTATGCATTTTGAATAAAGAAATTCACTTACTGAAAATTAAGGAAATTAAAGGAATCCAAACAACCTAAAACACTTCAGCACTTAAAAGACTTGTAGTTTTGGACATTGCGTTTCTGGGCTCATTCTGCTGTATTTTTCTACATTCCTGTGGAAAATTGGCTGACAAGCTGTTGTCAGTTTGAAATGCTGTGCAGTGACTACAATAGCAGCTTTATGCATGGAAGATTTCTCAGCAATTTCAATCATCAGCTGTACATGTCAGATTCTGGCATCAGTCCCACAGAATCTAATAGCAGAGTAGACTATCTAGGATCTAATGTAGAGGAAGCAGATATACCGGTTCCAGCACCACTAGAGCAAGGCCTGTGGATTGTCTGAAAACGTTAGAGTTTCGTTACCAATACCAAAACAATACTTTTTTCAATACCAGGTTTTAGGAAATACAACTCTTTTTATAATTCAACAGAAGAAACCGACTTTCCTAAATGTTGAAAGCTGTCTGAACGCTAGCAGCAGTACAAGAACTTTGCTTGGATATAATTTAAAGTAGTTTAAATTTTTCAAAATCAGGATACAAGATTAAGATTAAGACCAGACATCTGATGGCAGCTTTCAATCCAATTTTCGATACTCTAGGCTATGGACAAATCAAATTTCTGTCGAAAAAAACCCAACAAAAACACCAAAAAAGCACTGAGATTTGATTTCCAGTCCTATGAGGGGTCTCAACTGCCCAGAATGCAATGCTGCCACAGTGCATTTTGTCCCACTTCAGCGGTCAACATTATTATCATCATTAAAGCATAACATATATATGCAACAAGTTTAGGTCATCACTCCAGGAAATGTAGGAAACCAGCTAAGTAAATAAAAATAAAATAAACAGAAAATGTCAATGGTTTGTCACAAAGTAACTCCTACGATGTAAAGCGGAAAATACCAAACGTGTTGGTTTTATCTTCTACAATTGACGGATTTGCTCTCTTCATATAGGCTATTTGTAAATTGTGTTGGGCTATTGGCGGGACTAAAAAATAAAAAATAAAACACTTATCCATGGGCTCTGGGAATCTAATAAAGAAATTAAAGGCACATTATGAATACATCTCTTATCATTTCCCATCATGCTATTCTGTGTAACTCCTGGCATCAGTACAGGTTCACCTGCACTGACAGGGATTCCTTTGCCCTGAGTAAATCTCTGGGAAGTGTGATGCAAGAAAAGAGTGATTCATTAATAACAGCCTAGGATGCAGGGCTCAGACATAGATTTGTTCAAAGCAGGTCAAAACAAAGTGTAGGGGTGTGTGTGTGTGTGTGTGTGTGTGTATGTGTTTGTGATCTCTTCTCTCTCTATCCACCACCATCCACCAATCCTCAACCATACAATCCCACCCACTCTGTTTACTATGTACTTGTTAAAGGAGGGATAAAGGGCAAGATGTCCCAGGGTCATTGTAAACAAAAGGGGGATTTATATAAACTGATAATATTGTCATGGGACAAGGTTCAACAGAGAAACAGTAGTTTAGTTCAGTGAAAGTTACGTGAGTATAATCACAGATAAGAAATGAATAATCTTTATTCAGTTCTGCATTTAGGCCAAAGGACAAGAGGAATCATTACGAATCAATGAACCAGGTCTATTTTACAACCACAGCCAAAGAATTCACTTGGTTTCAAGCAAGAAGGTAGTTTTGCTTAGTAAACACATTCAACGGCAGGAAGATTTATTAGGCTAATTTCTCTTTTGTTATTGAAGCAGAGGTACTAAAAAGCAGGCTATGTGATGTAGCCTACTCTAACAGAGGGACTCTTAATTTCCCACCTTAATGTCAGAGATATCGTTTCGCATACTTTCACGTGGGAGTTTTTCTTGCCTGATATTTAGAACAGGAACTGCACAAGCTTTGTGTAGGTTAAGTTAGCCTATTTGGAGGTGAAAGATTTTCTGTTGACTTCGTACAAAATAACAAGAAAGGCGAAGTAAAGCAAACGAAATTCTTACCTGGAAAACGTGCTCCAACCTAAGTGACAACCGCTGTGGGTCCTCCAATTTATTACATAGTGGCAAAGAGGGAAAACAAACGGGAAAAAAAACTGTATCGAAACTTCAGCGAACTTTTAAAAGCGCTTTTACTTCAGCCACACAAGTCAGGCTCGCGTGAAGTTTCCTCGACCTGTTGTGAGGCAGACCGCCTCGTTATCTCTCTTTTTCTACAGTTTTTTTTTTTTTAAATCTTCACCTGGTTTAATTCAATCCCTCCCAGGAAACATGACAGCTCAGTGTGAGCTGCTGTCGGCGTCAACAGGTGAGACTGAAGTGAAAGCACGCGGAGGAGGGCGACGACAGAGGCGGGTGCCGACTCATAAACAAAGTGTGTTTTGTGTTGGAGGTATAAACGAAAAGCCCATATCCTCTTGCTCCCGAACTAACTTCGCTGTCGGTTTCTGTGCTGTTCAGACCGCAGCCAGAGTCCCGTTCAAGCCCTGCTATTTTCTATTCTGGGAACTGACGGGCTTTCTCATTGTGGAGTGGCTCAACTAAAGAGACATCCAGGCATATTGCCAGTACACTGTGAAGTAAAAGGCCACTTAAATACTTTTCATGACAAGCTCCCATGGGAATATTTTAATATTATGATGATTCAGTAGAAGACTGAACTTATTAAAACAGAGCAGGGGAACTCGGGGTCAGTTGCAACATGTTTCATATTGACGCTCAGATGTAGCTAGTTGTTGTGTGAATTCTTTCAGCAGAGTAGGCTATTGCCCATATTACATGGTTTTAATATACATAGTACGATTGGTGGTAGGCCTACCACAGTGTAGAAATACTCTGTTACAAGTAAAAGTCCTCCGTTCAAAATTTTATATAAGTAGGCTACAAAAGTATAAGCATTAAAAAGCTCCAGAACTTAAAATACTCATTGTGCAGAATGTCCCATTTCAGAAAAATAAATAGATAGCCTATTTCAATTGATTATTGATGCATTAATGTGTACATCACATTAATGGTGGTGGAGTCCCTGCCTCACAGGTCAGGGCTGTTTCAGCCGCAAAAAGGAAGACTTACCACCAGCAGGTGGTCATAATGTTATGGCTGATTGGTGTACTGAAAACCTAAGAGTATAACATCCCTTTGAGGGTGTCCTGAGGGTTTCTTTTCCTGTGGCAACCTCAAAGTCAATGTTTAGAATATTCTTCCAGTTTTTCAGGATCCCTTGGACGCCTTGGGCCCTTTGGTCTGAGCCGGATAGGAACTTTCAGTACATTACATTTAGCTGACGCCTTTATCCAAAGCAACATGCTATTTTAGAAACTAAGGGTTAAGTGTCTTGCTCAGGGATATATCAGTGGGTGTCACAGTGGGGAGTTGAACCCAGGACTCTCACACAAAAGGCATGTGTCTTATCCACTGCTCCATCACTACCCCACTGGAATACATAGCAAAATTTATGTTTTTATGTATTGTAGAATCAGTGGGAATGTCACTGAATCTCTTAACAGGTGACAAATAGACACAAATGGTAGTAGACGTGCTGTCTTTAACTTTAATTTAATCTTAACTTTATCTTTAATCTATCTTTATCAGTGTTGGCAAAGAAACTACAGCACATTTTCCATTTTTATTATCGATTTATATTCAGCCACTACATGATGCTGTTGGTACATGTGGCAGAGCTGTTGATCCAAGTTGACTCAAGTGCCATGTGCCCTTTTGTGTGCCTTATTGAAATAAAATGGAAACCACGCCCAACCAGCTCAAACCGTGCCTCCTGGGTTTTGGAGAACTGGAATTTGTCCCACCTTAACAGGTGCAACAAAGTTAAGAGGAGCATCAGAGATGTCAGCCAAACAGTCTCTACACGCCCACACAGTCCTGAGAAGAAGGCTCTGTCTGAAATCAGTCCCTCATTCACTTGTTGACTACTTCTTACTCCTTATGTAATACACTCAGTAGTTTACTCTACAGTGAGCAGTAAACAGATATTTTGGACACTTATGAATCATTGCCATTTTGTGCCATCATCAGCTGTAGAGTTGTACAAAGGTAATTTTCACATTGCTTAAACATGGTGAATTGCATTGTGGGATTGTTAGCAGGCATTTTATTATTTTTGAGGGCACCATATATGCTGCTGGATCCTTTTACACACTCAGAACTCGGACAGTTAAAGGTTCAGTGTGTAATATTTCTGAGGATCTATCAGCAGAAATGCACTGAACCTTTAAATTAAATGGTGGAGAGTGTATATAGTATATAAAAAAAATAGCGAGTGATTTTGGATTCAGCTGTGTGATAACCACAAGTGTGCAGGGCTGACAGATGTCACTAATGTGTTTCCAAATGGAGGGACATTGGTGTTACACCTGAACCCATTCTCCCCTAACACAGATACAATTTAGTGTATGTGCAGCAAACGGTGTCCAAGGCATTCAAGGGCCCCTCCCTACATCCATCTATTCATTCCAGTATCTCCTCACATGAGGCCCTGCATAATCAGGTCCATTTGTCCCCCAGTCCTCTCCCCACAGTGCCATGCATGGTCAATAAGATCATGATGACAGAAATAAGAAAGGTATTATTAAGTGCTACATTGTTGTTATAACAAATGCACCAAAAGTCCCTAGCAGGATATTAAATTGGTAGCATATATACCATAAGATATACAGTATTATTAGACACTCCATAACCATCAAGGCTGTGGGACTTACTACTGTACTGATAGAAATCCAATGACCCGGAGGACTGAGAGTATGTACACACACAAAGTGCCATATGAACACTTAACCATGAGTAACACATCCACAGTACAGTAAGTCCCTACAGCAGTCTTATATTGATCCCAAGTAGGGATTAAAATACCATAAATTATTAGACAATTACTGTTAACTTACCACTGAGTACAACAGAAATTGAATTCCTGTTGTAAATGTTGATGATATTTGAGAGATTTAACAATATTAAACACTCGACACTTGTTAGTGACATTGTAGGAGATAAGACCATCTGAACTCAATACTTAGCACCACAGATGCACTTGAATCCCTATAGGAATAGTTTCTTTGGGGTTGGGAAAAATCTACTCTTCACTCTGAGGGCTTTATCGACCTGACCGGCCTCTTTATAGCTCTTTCTGAATGAGCTGATAGTGTAATAGATTCTTTCCAGTGACATGTGGTCTGTGTGAGAGAGAATGGGCAGCAGGTTCATGGTGGCACAGTGGAAGTGGGCTGGAGGAGAGACTGAAAGAGGGCTGGCAGATGGGTGACACAGACTGGGTGAAAGGACAGCTGGCACCTTCGCTTCCCAGTAGCAAAACAGGATCAAGAGAATAGTACCGTTTTACATGGAAACAACTGTGCCTCTAGGGCAACATATCTTCAGCTTGTTGGTGACAACGGTCACACACACCCCTGTTTTTATTAATTTAAAAAAAAAACAATGCAGGTGTCTGTCAGTGAGGACACTAGGTGAAGCGGAGGCTTTCCAATAATGTTGTTTGTCTCAAGTGCTGACAGAGACAGCTGGTAGATGGTGTGTGTGCTAACAGTATTAACTTGCATGTGACCGGCCAACACCCACATTTCTCTAACCTTCAATTTATTTTATTCTTAAACAAATCTTTATTAAAAAGGGTTTCTGCAGATACCAACAGTGTGCTCTTTTTCCCAAATTAAGTCTGTATTCCTCAATGTGTAAAACTCATTAGAATAATTTTCATATGAGGTAACATGAGGTTAGTATGGCTGCTCTAAAAACTGCGATTGACTGAATGTAACAGATACAGGAAGCATTGATTTTCAAACGATACTGACAAAGTAATTTTAACGTGGCTTGGTCACATCATGGCGGATCTGCTTCATTATGGCATAAGGTCAGTATCAGTGCAATTCAGCATTCATCAGATTGGTGCTTCCCTGTTTAGAAGTAAGCAATCCATTGATATGATGTTGGATCCTCCCTAACCATTACTACAAAAAAAGACCTTAAATAAATGTTCGGACAATTAAGTTTTCTCATAAAGGGAGTTTTCCCTTGCCACTGTCACCAAGTGCTTGCTCATGGTGGGAATTGTTAGGTCTCGGTAAATATTACAAAGAGTACAGTCTGGACCATCGGCATGTCCAGGTCATCTTTCCGGAGCTTAGCCCTGAATGTAACTCAGCAACAACAAAAATGGGGATAGCCTACCATATCTACCATATCATATACCATAAGCTTTCTGTTACAAAGTGTAGCCTCCAAACCCAAGCATTGGACTTTAGAAAGCCCCCTCCATACCTACAGTGCAAATTATACAGTTCATGAGGTATTGCCCGAAACCAGAAAACTGAACTGTGTACAATCAGAGGAGTGATTCTTTAAATCCTGGCAAGAGTAGAAATCTGAGGAGAGAATACTAGTTGAAAACAGCTCGTTAGAAACATTTTCATACTGGCCCTTAAAAGCTCATGATTCGTCCAACACTATCATAAAACTAGTTTCTCTGGCAGAGGCATGTGGCTGAGTCAGAGGCCAACACTCCCAAACAAACTTGTCTTACTGGCTGGTGAGCTGTTAAATGCAAGCTGAGTACAGAACATCTGGAAATCCAGAAGCAGACTCTGCTGATACCTGGCATCTTCTTTACTGAGATAATGACACACATTTCAACAGACAACCCTAACCCTATTAGACATCTAAAGGAACAAATGACACCTGAGAGCACAAATGCAGCTGCATGGCAATGACATGCTGTCAATGGAAACTTGTCCCTCAGAGGTTCTGAATGCAAATCTTGTAGTTTCATCTTCCTGCTATGCAAAAAAGCCAGTGGCTGGCAGCAGTCTCAACGCTGTGTGTCTGAGTGAATGTGTGTGTGTGAGATCTTGGCTAAAGGAGTCCGGAATCACTGGAAAGGCCATGTGGAAGAACTCAATTGTCCCAGTTAAGCATTCATGAATACTAAACCAAACCTTGAATGGAACATTCCTATCTGAGCTTTCCTTCTCATAAATACCCCCCACCCTCAGCCCAATTCATAATAACACAGCTAAATAGAGTAAAAAAAAATACACACATTTAAATTTATTCAAAATCCAGAAAAACTTTTGTAATAGTGTTTTTTCCTCATGTACAGATCTTTAGCACTCATTTCTAACAGTTAAAAAAATAACTGATTTCATATTTATTTTCACTGTGATCACAATGATATCAGTAGCCATTCTCCAATTGACAACAGCTATTCAGCTAATTACGTCTTTACATTTACACAATTGCACATAATAAAGCACTTTATGGTAATCAGTTTTCAGTTAATCCTGCTTAAATGTTAATCACTTTGCTTTGATTTAGTTGATTTGAATAAAAGTCTTCCTTCTGCAGGACATTCAGACTTGGTGTACTCCACAAACCAGATTAGCAGGCACTGAAATATCTGCAAAAAAAGAAGAAATGTAAACTGTTTATAGAAATAGAAGTCACACCCATCCTGTCATCTTTACATTGACTTCCCATCTGGTTCCGGTTCATTATAAGGGTTTTGTTTTCACATATAGAGCCCTGCTTGGTGTACATATCTGACCTGCTCCCCCTTTATATCAAAAGTTGATCACTTAGGTCTTACTGGTCTTTCCTCGCCGGCCTTTAAAGTGGTGAAACTTTTTACAGTCACTGTTGACACGTTTAAAAAGCATCTGAAGACTATTTTATTCAAACTGGCCTTTGCCTCGTGCAGTTTAGTGCTTGTAATCTTTTGTGTTTTAGTGCCTGTTGTTGCCTATGTTTAATCGTTGTTCCTTTACTGTCTTTATAGTGTTATTTCTAATAATTTTACTCTTGTAAAGCCCCTTGTGGCCAAGCTTTCTCTGTGAAAGGTGCTATACTAAATAAACTTTACTTGCTGACTTTACTAAGTATGGTCATAAGCATGATACTTGTGCACTGACGTGTACCAACCTTGAAAATATAATTTTTTGCCCCAGGAATTGTAGTTATTTTTACTAACAGAGCAAGAGTTGATACCTATTTTTGCAGGCTTGGGGAGATTCAGGTTATCCATGATTTTCACAAACTCCTCCAAGCGCTTGGTCAAGCGCGGGTTAAACTTGCGCTCCTCGCCGACCGTAGACACCGTCTGACCTGATACACAAAGACAGACACGGCCTGATATGTCATCTATAGTTACTGCAGACCTAATGTTTACCAGATGCTTAACGTCACTGATCAAAGGAATATAATATTTGTTAAGTGCAGAGAAATCAAACTGTGCTGGCAGACATGTAAAAAGTGATACAATATTAACCAATATATCAGCACACTCACTTGTTTTAGATGATATCAGTTTAAAAATCAGTGTGCATCAAATATAATTCGAATACAACTGTTAAATTATTATTACAAGAGGCATGTCTGAAAAGCTTACCTAGTTACACTTATGTTTGTAAACTCTTGAAACAACATGATAAAATACTGGCAATGGCTTTATGATACTATGCTGGTACTTAAAGTGCGCAAGCAGTTTTTACACCAGTGACTCCAGATATGATATAAACATTCTGATGTGTGGGTTTTCAGCCAACCTAAGTAGTCATGTGCTGGGTAGATGAGGCAATGGTCTGGCAGAGTAAAGATCTTCCCATGGATTGACTGGTACAGCTTCTTAGCACTGCCTAAATTGGACAGAAAACATTTTGCAAAGGTTGGACAAGTCCAAATGAAAACAGATGCAATACTGCCCTCTTGTGTTCCTCTAGCAGCATTACAAAAATGAAAACTTTCGGCCAGTGTGTCAGGAATGAATGAAATTCCACAACAACAGGTATTTCATATGAGATTATAAGGTAAATGCAAGTAAATGTTTACCTTGCTGGAAGTCTGTCCTGCCACAGCCTCTGATGAGCAGCGCGTCTCCAGTAAAAGCCATGCTCTGATCCCCTGACACCAGCGTCACACACCCATCAGTATGTCCCGGTGTCTCTCTCACGGTCAGAAACTGAAGGAGAGAAGAGACAATCACTTTTAACTAAAATATTTCAGTTCTTTACAAAGCAACAGATGATACATATCCAAAATTAAAAGTATACACGGGTATGTCCGTAGACTTTACCAAGCTAAAAGAGAGTCAAATCAAGATACCAGTTGATGAAAAGATTTAAGATACTATATTGCAATTAACATTGACATAAATCTAAAAACAGCCATTCTCTCTAATGTGAGTGTTGTATAGATTGATTATATGCAATGAAATAAGTAATATGTTCTTCTTACATGTTTTCCAAATGTGATCTTGTCTCCCTCTGACAGGTGGATATCTGCTGAGGCACCGCTTAATTTGGAGATTGCACTCTTCAGGCCAGCCAGTCTTTTCTTCATCAGCCCAGTGCTTGTGATGTGGTCCGCATGGCAATGGGTGTTCACTATCAGAAAAAGAAAATAGTATGGTTCACCATAGGGTTTGGCAGTAATTCAATATTGTCGTTAATATATATTAAAAAGTTGGTGGAATAGTTTTGTTGTTGACATGCGTCTCATTCTACAACTTCTGCTGTCTAAATGAATGATCCCAAGCTAATTCTAATAAAAAACTAACTTAAGGCTACACAATCTAGTGTACAATTGACCTAGCTGAGTCTTGGGGAAAGTGAGGTTTCATATAAGCACACAGAATATAGATGTGACTTTATTCCAGTACTATAATAATGTTGCTCCTGAGCAGAGTTACTCATTACTTTTCAGAATTAGCATCAGAAACCGATGAGTTTTCCCCAAACTCTTCCAGTATAGGGGACAAAATGATCCTTTAATCAAACTACACCTTAAAGTTATTAGGATAATGTCCATTGGACATGTATGTAAATAAACAAAAGTGTGGGGACACCGATATTTAAAAGTTGTCTGAATGTATGAAATAGCACCACGTCTCTTTGCTCAGCCAAAGCAAGTTATACCTGCCATTTTTAGATCGAGCCCAGTTCATGTATGAGCTTCAGGTCCCTGTCAATGGTCTCCAGTACAGGATCGATGAGGATCGCCTCCTTGGTCTCTGTGTCTGCCAGCAGGTAGGTGTATGTGCTACTCTCAGACTCAAATAGCTGAATAGAAAAAACGAGTGCACTCAGCAATAAATCACAAAAATGGATGGTAATAATGCACACCCTCTCCATCGTCCTCTGAGGGTGTGTCATTGAATATGCTTGTGAGATAGAGAGATATGAAGTAAGAAATAAAGAAGAAAGAACAGATAATGTGGAGCTACTTCTATCAATGCAAGCTCAATGCATTGTTCAAATAGGCTGTTCGAATATCTATTTGACAACACAATCTCAACTCAAGGTCTTAATACTCCTTTGTTCTGGAGGTTTTGAACATATCACACAGTAATGATCAGCAGATTTAGTTTGCACTGTTGCCACAGAAATGCAGATATTAAAACTTTACATGATAAGGACCAAGTGATCAAGCTGCAGAAAAAGCCAGTAAGTGCACCTTGAGTTGAGACTGAATTGCTGTTTCCAATGCCAGTAATACACCGTCAACTCAAAACATATCTCTCCTCTGTTGTAACGCTAACATACCTCTGTCAGGTATATTGCAGTGTCATCGTGTTTCAGCCATAACATTACAGTCACATGTACAGTAGCTTACAGTCATCCGGTTAGATCGTTTTTGCAAAAACATGGAGAAGATTGTGCCAAGCAAAGCGTCGGTTTGGCTATATGCACTCCACAAAGATGAAAATGTTAACAAAGTCTGGCTCAATTTAAATGACAACTTTGAATGTAACTTGACATTAAGTTAATAATTAACGTTAGCTATCAGCTAACTCTGCCCTGCTCACTTCTAAGTAACGTTACTAACGTTAAAGCTGGTAGAAGCAAATATATCGTAAAACATTGTTGTTCACGCGTTGGACCTGACAAAATAACCTAAACTGAAGTAAAACAACATATGAACCAACCTGTCTGAAGAGCAGTCCTTCGGTCATCGCCATCCTGGAGCAATACGATCTGCCGATAGCTCGTAGCGGGCTGTTGCCAGTACTTACGCCGTGATAGAAGCGCCTGCTCTCGGCTGCTGCGTAACTCGAGCCTTCGGTGTTTGCTCTGATGCGAAGCGTGAGAGCCAGAGCCCGGTGAACTGGTTTTACCCTCGTTATTACCGAGCACATTGTCGTTCGTCGTGTATGTCCCGACTACACAACCCGATTATTATCTCAAGTAAGAAATATGCCTTGACAACAACAGTTACGACGCAATCAGACGCGTCAGTGGCTGCGGTTAAGATCGCGCTTCCTCATGGACCTTTGTTTGCCTTCAGCTTACGCCAGATCATAAAATTGCGTTCAAGATAACTCAGCGCTCAGAGTTGTTTTAAACCTAAACTCTCACACTGGATTGAATGAAAGACAATCGTAGTGTTACAGCGTCACTCATGGCCGGTAAACCACCGCTGCCAAGTGTTTCTTATCGAGCAACAAAATGTGGGTTGGTCCACTAACGATACAATCGTGCAGGTCATCTTTCTGTACTGTACTGTCATAAGCGCGTTAGATCAGTTACAGCACAGACATCAGTCATTACCATATAAAAGGTATGTCTGTTGTAAGTGTAGTAGATCATTACAACAAGCGCGCTCCTGACGCACGCGCACGCACACACCACATACACAACAGTAGCGCCATCGACTGCAGCAGTGGCCTACGTGACTATTGACACACTTTTCAGGCGGTCCAAACTAGAGCTGGTTACAAATGCCATATTAAAAGAGTCACCTGACCCTGGCACACAAAAATGCCATAGTTATAATGTGTGTGTATATTATAACATACTACTATACTGTATATGTGAGTAAATACATTTGTTTAAAATGAACATATAAAGCAATCTTTTGGTATGTCTTATCACCAAGGGCTGCTACTATGTTACTTCCCAACTCTTACTGAGTTTGTGTGACCAAAGCCAATATTGATATTTGAGAGGTGATGACTGAAATTCGTAACCATATTTTGGTTACTATTGTTTTGTTTGTTTGTTTTGTCATAAACACATAACATAGGCAAACATGTTTGGTAAAGATCCCTTCTCCCTTTCAGTCCCATGTCAAAAGCAGGTGATTAAAATTGCTCAGAAAATCATTGGTACCCATTTCCCGAGCATCAGTGATATGAGGTACTTGCGCAGAGCCCAAAGGCACCCCAGCCACGGCCTGTTCACCCTGCAGCCATCTGTAAAGAGATATAGAAGTATCTGCTGTCACACCACCAGACTGCAGAGCAGCTTAATTCCCCCCAAGATATGAGACTATCAAATTCAAATTATAGTTTACCATTTTATAATAAGTGTAGACCTATATTGTCTGCTTTGTAGCAGAAGGAACTATAAACTGCATTTCATTTTACAACCCTGGTGTAATATAAATCTACCTTGTACTTCCAGATAAGTACTGTGACGCCCCTCCCACTGTCTTGGATGTAGTCCTGGCCAACCTCAAGGCTATTGGCTGACTTCGGAGGATCAACAGCTGATTGAGCTCACCAGGGCCCTTGGGCTGTAAAAGCTGGCCCATGTATTCAGTCCAGTCTCTTCCTTGCAGGGACTCCCTCTTAGTCACATTCCCTGAGCCATTTTGTGACAATGCCTCTCGTGTCTTATTAGCTTAAAATATGGATGACTTGCTCATTTTCCTTTTCAGAATAACCAGGACTATTTGAAAATTAAGATTTATTTGAAGTGAATAGTTGCAGTCATGATCTATAACTGCTTATATATATGTATTATTTAGGTTTGCTTTGCAAGTAACACAAACTCTGTGAGGTTTTTGATGAATCTGACAGCAACTATGAGCATACAACAGCCTCACAATTAATAAATAACAGGTGAAAACTGATGAGGAGCAACAACAATGATTTGTTCTGAGTAAGTTGTACTTAAATCAAACAAAGTCACTAACCTTTCTTTCAACCAAAATCATGCGGATTGGGGATTGGGGTTTTTGATATGTTGAATGACAGCAGGGGTGTAGCACACAATTATGTCCCTCTTCCTGCATCCATGGCTATTCATTCTAGTATATTTGACACACCTCATTTGAGGACCCCGTATACTCAGTGCCCTCTTTCCCTCCAGTCCTATGCCCCTGATTAATGGGGAAATAGACAGATTCATGCGTGAGCCTCACTTTTGCAGTAAGGGACTTTCAGGGTTTAATTTGTTCATTTGTTGTTTCAATTGTGACAAAGATATACTAAGAGAGGCATTTTATAGGCATAATACCATGATGTTATGATCATTATTTGTTAATGTTATAACAAACAACACAAACAAGCAGATACAGGTGAAATGCATCTTTACTTTTAACAGTACCTCTGCCAAGGAGCTTATGTTTTCAGTGCCATTTGTTTATCTGTTAGCAGGACTACAGAAAAACAGACCTGATTTTCATGAAACTTGGTGGAAGGGTGAAGCGTGAACCAAGGAAGAACCCAATACATTTTGTAGCATATTCCTGGCAAAAAAATATCTAAAAGATTTTATGGTCACGCTATCTTCTCTGTCCTCTCCTTGACTGAGGGCAGGGCTCAGCTTCTACGCAAGGATGCACACACACACACACACACACACACACACACAAAGCCAACAGCAGAGCACAGGCTGTGGTGAACCAGGTGAAGTGAAGCTAACAGTTTACTTGAGGCTCGACGACAAGAAAAGCACCTTCTATATCCGCAGTTGTTGTTCCAACCACGGCACACCTGTTGAGCTAATAGCAAACTGTTATGAACAAGCTAAAAAGAAAGCTGTAAGTAACTGTTTATCTTAGTTTGTCACAAATCTTAAAATTTGGCAAATTCTTGTAAACTTAGCTGCAGGCTGAGACGGCAGCCCTCTCTCCAAACCATGTCCTCTAACCAGGGCTGGACTGGAACAAAAAATCAGCCTTGGCATTTTTGGCCGAGGCGGCCCACCAAAATCGGTTGGACACCTCTCACCAATACACCATCGTTTCAGATTAGGGGTGTGATCAAACACGGAGACATGACATTGCACGAGATTGGTGTCCATGATTACAAGACAAGAATATATTTTAATAGACCTACTATTTATAAAAAATATTGATAGATTAAGTATTTGATAGGTTGGTCTGGGGGTCCTCCCCCAGAAGATTTCTAGCATTAAACACTTAATTTCCTGCATTCTGGAGACATTTTCTGCACTCATTTATGGTGGAAATGTCTTTATTCTTATGAAGGGAAGCACAAAATTCAGGTGGCAGGTGACAATTCACAATATAAAAATATAATAAAATATAATGCAGTAATCAGTAGCTTATTATTATTTTTTGCTTAAGGAAACAGAGGTTTCTTCCGTATTTACATTGCATTGCAGGTTTTATTAAGTGCAAATAAACGTTTCTTACGTTTTTTAATTAACATTTCTTGGTGCAAGCCATTTTTCAGAACATTTTTAACAAATGCTTTCAAACAGTGGTGGCTACATGTCCCCAGCGTCCCCAATGTAAATGACCCTCCCTCCCTGCTCCCTCCCATACAGGTTGAGATACTCCATGTTTACCGCTTCACCTCCACTCTCCTCCTGCTCTCTCTCTCTCACTCGGCTCTGTCACTTTGTCACTCTGTTTCGCGAACACACACGTCCTCCTCTGCCTGGTGGCCACCACAGCTCTTTTACTTCTTCAGGTGCCTGTGCCTGCTCTACGCAGGGTACTACAGCTGATGTTAAAACTACTGCAGACCCGGTAGCAAACAGATCGGTAATTTTTGCGCATTTGGCGGCCTCTGTCTGAAGAATATTTTTTTTAAAGGCCCGCAACGTAAGAAAGAGCAGAGAGGTGGGGGCTATTAAGAGATGTGATTTGGCCAGCCCAATGTCAATAAATTACCTAATGGGTCGCAGGCATTTGCCCAGTATGCCAGATTACCAGTCCAGCCCTGCCTCTAACTCTCAACCAGCGGTACCTGCGGGTAGTGAATCACATCAGCAGCAGAGGGAGGAGGACAGAGGGCAGGAGGAAGGACTGACACTGACTGATGCCTGTGTTCTTCATTCTTTCTAAAACTCTACTATTACTCAGTATTTTGATGTTAGGAATATTTATTTTATTATTTATTTTCTGAACTTTGATGTTGCTAATCTATAATCAATATTTAAAACATAAGTCAATTTATTCCTGTTTTTAAGTTATTCTAATTTTTAAAGAGTGATTATGATAATTAAATCCCAATGCTTTAGTAATGAAAAAGATCCAATAAGAAACAGGCCAATGAGAATATGGAAGATATAATCCTAACAATATGGGTATCGTATTGAAACATTAGGAGTTTAACCAATGTTAATTTGTGATTGTTATTTATGCGTAGTATTAAGTGTATTATTACTTCAGGACATTGCACTTAGGCCTATTGTTGAGCATATTTGCTTTACATTTTTTCCTGCTAATTTTGAGTGTAATGTGAAAAATTAAAACCTGGGTGGATTTTTTTCAATTATTTTAATTTATAATTGTCTTTTAGTCAAATAACAGAGAAGACTGGGTAATTGGCATTGGTGGACGTCTGCGCTATCCAAGTGCCCTTCTAGTTCATTGAAAATCAGATATTAGTGAGTTGCTGTTCATGGCTGTCATGGTGCCTTCCAATTGCATTGGTTTGTCCTGCAGTAAAAAAACAACAACAGAAAAGTGAAAATGCCAGCATCAACATAAAATGTAATTTTATATATTTCCATGAAGGAAATGTATTAAATGTAAATGCATTTGATAGTTAGAGTGCCAATAAAAAATCCAGCAAGGTAAAAAAAATACATTAGGCCCTCTGTCTGAATAACACATGCCATTCAATGCTTTCATCCAGCAAGCCTACTGAGCCAATATGTATATTTACTGTGTATTGATTTGTATCCCCATTATTTCTTACTAAGGAAAAAAAATTGTATTGTATTGGCACGGATGAGCACATCAAAGATAGTAGGCTACTTTCTATTTTAATAAAACAGACATTTTATTTAAATGACTGATTGTGATCATAATTCATACAGTGAAAGACAGACAGGAAAAGAGGGGGACATCACATTTACAGTACCTCAACATATTCGTTAACCCAGTTGATCAGTTGGGTTACTCTGCTGTAGACGCCTGGTTTATTGAGCCGTCCACAGCCCTCTCCCCAGCTCACCACCCCTGCCAGCCTCCAGGCCCCACTGAATGTCTGACACACCAGGGGTCCACCACTATCTCCCTTAAAACAGGACCAAAACCTTTAGCAAACATTTAAGGCAAAGTTTTGAACAAAGTTTGCACATTTAATGGCAACTGAAGTGAAACTCATGAAAGTTTGACCTAAAGTTAAAAAGTATTCTTCATAAACCTCTATCAGGTAGATTTATATGGAGGTTTTATATCATTGGATGTATACCTGGCAGGAGTCCACTCCCCCATCCATGGTGCCAGCACAAATCATTCGTGGAGTTAGGTTCATGCCATAGACACTCGGTTGGGAGCAGATAGATTGAGCTATTACCTTGACCTGAGCCTGCCTGAGCTCATTTGACACAAAGCCTGACAGAGAACAGAAAGACAAAGAG